ATTTAAAATCACGAAAAAGGAAGTTTAACTAGAACAATAATGTTTTATGAAACAATATCATTTATAAAAGTTATTCATTTTACGATGACCTGGAGGATTCATTGTGTACCACCGATACGTTTAATATGTGCATTACACGGCGAATCGTGTAGACTATTTTAATACACGTGTGTTATGGATGACATTACGAAGTCTACAAGTTTTACAAAATTCGTAACAATCTGCAAGATTATTTGCGCATGATTCATTTTTTAATTGAATGGATAACTCTTGGTCTTTTTCATTCAATTTTACTATGTTACGCCTATGGGTAGTTTTATGTAGTCATAATAACGAAAAAAAAAGTTTTAAAACAGTATTTAAAAAAAGTCTCGTAGCTAAGCTAAATTAAATTATACTCATCAGAGAGTTTTATAGATTTATATTAATTTGAATTTATTTTTGGTTAAGTTCTTATGAAATTTTTATATCTTTTTCTTATACTAATTGATGTTTTATGCGACTAATAAGTGATTTAATAAACTTACATATCTAAACAAATTATGATTAGGCAAATATAATTATTATTGATTATTACGGAGTGTAAAATAATTATTTATATATATGTCAGTCATTTCTTATTATGATAAAAGCTTTGTTTTTCTTCTCTACTCTAAATAACCAACGAGACTAACAAAATAGATTTTGCGCATTTTTTATACAAGATTGCCATCTTAAAAGTCTCCCATTTTCTCGGTCAATCGTTTTATTAAAACGCCTATATTGAAAAATAAGTGAATGTTTATTGGTCTTTTAAGAATAATAATAAAATATCATTCCGATAGAAAATATTTTTTTACAGAATCTACGCTTTTTTATATTGAATAAATTGAATTTTTTCATTCAGTTGATTTATTAATAATTAATAACAATACTTATTACTGTCTATTACGAATTAACCATTGTTTCTATATTATTTTCGAATTACAACATTATTCTGCTTCTACGTATTAATAATTTAATTCTTACAGAATATCTTAATAGTTATTTTATTGAGATATATCGATTTACTTCTGACATTGTTTAAGTGTTTAAAAAGTGTGGTAATTTTTTTAATTTATTTTATTACTAGATTTTTCATTATTAAATGTTAATTCCTTAAAAGTTTATATTCGTGTTAAATATAAAAAGGTCACGCTTGTATAAACTAATAATAATATATTACCTGACAAAATCATCTTATCAATGTCGAACACTTATCTCATAGACCTAAGTTAACGTTGCGTGTTTTTTTCTGTATTAAAACTGTTTATAAAAAGTTATAAACAATACTCGCGTGCAATAAATAAAACAAAATAGCTCTTCCCGACAAAAATTATTAAAACATGCAGTGTTAGTATTTCTTTGTAAAAAAAAATTCTATTTGTTTTAATCATTTTGAAATATAATGCTATAATAAAAATATCTACAAATTGATTGACTTTCGGATTTTATCATAAATAATATAACTGATTTCAAGACTTAAGTTCTTTCTATGCTTTTAATTGCTTTTTTATATTTTGTCATCTCTCGATAGGTTTTTTATCATTGTTTTTTGTGTCCCTTTTAATTTTGATATCAAATTGTATTACTCACTATAATGTTTATTGAATCGAATACTTTAAAGTTTATCCAATTAAAAAAAATAATTACTTATTCATTTATAATTGAATATTTTTCTTGCTAGTAAAAAATGCTTCAGAAGAGTTTTCATTATTTTTTATGAAAACTAAAACATTTTTTTCAAAATATTGAACTCAAGATTATATAAAAAATCTTAATTACTAAAAATTTATAACAGTGAATTACTTAAGCTAAACTTCTCAAAACACTTTATATACACTTTTTCTATTAAAATTTCTTTCATATTGTGCCAGTCCACCTATTTTTTTTATACTTTTGAATTACTATTAAAATTTCATGTACACCGTGTGTAAAACTGAGACAAATTTCATCTTAGAAATTATTTTATGTTATTAATATTATGTACTGGAAAAATATTCATAGATTTATAATCCCAGCTACATAATAATAGTATTTTAAATACCAATTAATATATTTCGTTTGAGTATTTGTATCTCTTACAAAAGAACTATTTTAGTTTCGATGCAATGCTGAAAAGGTATTAATTTTTTTATAATATGTGTTTTTTTTTATGTTGCCACTTATTAACAGCTCTCACTAGAACGATTTCTTTCAACGATATGTCAAAATATTACATTTCGTATCAAATTGAAGACATAGACCTTAAAATTCGAAAAAAAAATATCTTAATCTCTTTAAATAAGAGAAAGCCTCCAAAAAAGATTTAATTTTTAAAATTTTTAATTTAGACTTTTCTTAACCTGTTTCTTTAAAAACTACCATGATTTTTTTAAAAATGAAGGAAACAAAATTATTTTTGTTTATATAATTATCTTGGGTATTTCCCTTTCATTTGATATAAATTGTTTGAAAATATGATCTTTTACTTTTTACGTGGAGTGAGTTCAAAATAGAAACTTCAGTACAAATATTTAACTTACGAACATAGAACTTTTTCAACTTTTGAAAATGTTCCTGAAATTCTCCAAGCTTTTTAAAGTTTATTTTACGTTCAAGAAAAAAAATTGCCCGATGATTATTCTGTATGTAATCGATCTCCGAAATTAGACAATAAATATTATTTTAGTATACAATTGAAATATTCAGAACTATATCCCACATGGGAGATAATGTTGCTTTTAGAATAATCCACCAATTTCTTAAAATTAAACACTATCTACAGATGTGTATCGAAGCGTTTTTTATTATAGAGATTTTAATCACTGTAAGATATCATCATACTAGTCCCGACTATGCCACGATTCCACTGTGCTACCATTTTTTTTAAATAATACCGTTATAACATTATTTTTTAAAAATGCTATCTGGGTAGAGATTAATTTATTATGCATACGTTTTTATTTTCACTTTTATTATTCTCGATTTGTATATCGTTTTAGAAACCTTTGTCAACTAAAAAGTTGAAGTTATATTGAAATTTATAATTTTCACGCTTACAAAAAATACTTTTTTTTAATTACTTGTAATATTGAAAACAGCATATTCTTAATGTACAAATGGTTGCAAATTAATTTTCAATGCATTATTGAATTAGGATTAAAAAATTGATAACAGAACATAAAATAATACTAGTCAACATTATTAGACATTCAAAATTTAAGAACTGTTATTTTTATGTTAGTCCTACCGAAGCTTGATAGAAATTGCAATTTATAACTTTTATATAGTCAAATTATTTCTGACTATTGTTAAATTAAAACGAATTAATCATTACTACATACCATAAATTACAATAATAACTCATAACTTCTTGCTCACTAATTAGTTTCACTGATAGAGATCAAGGGTTCTGTGAAATTTTCATATACATGTACCGTAATTCATATTTATATACATTTAAATGAAAAAGGACAAGAAGTTATCCTAAATAAAATGATTATAATTATGCTTTTTAATAAGTCTTAGGGACAGCTAACCACTGAGATATATCAATTAAAATTATTTTTAATAACCCCAATAAATGATTAACACTTCTTGTTTATTATCGGAAAGTATCAAATTGTTTTATTTATTTTTCATTAAATATATGTATAAATTAAATCAGTAATAGGTACTATTATATTAAATGTCAAATTTTAGTCGTCAAAAATCTCTCAGTATTAAATAATTATTTATTAATTCCTCCATTAAAATTATTTCTGTTTATTATTGTTGGTTATGTTTAACGTCGTTGGTTCAATTTATTATTATAGAATATAAAACATTCAGAGCAAATTTGTTAATCATGCTGAAATTGCATACTCTACAAGTCAATAATGAAATGAAACATAAATATCACTACGTTACTTAGATTGCCTCTTTTAAATGCTAATTAACTATTATTTTACAAATATACTATGATTATTATAAATATATCGATGATACAGAAAATTTGAGAATACTCAAATGGACACAGAACACTGAAATCCTTAATTTCTTCTAAGTATTTATTATTGTTCTAATAAATTCAGTTATTTAGTGGCGGCTAGTATTGTAAACGTCAATTACTATTCATTGTTTTAAAAAACAAATTTTCACTTATCCGTTTCATCAAACCTTTTAACGATAAATCACTGTTACCCGAGGTAGATACAAAAACTTCTTTGAACTTGGCTTAAGAAGAGTTTCTCAAAATTATGAAAACTTTATACCTCAAACAAAATTATTTTTGTTAAAACTGTTCATGGCTTAGTAAATATGTATTAAGTTATTTTATTCTTAATTAGACCTCGTTTTATAACAGGTAATTCTTAATATACCCTTTCCACATACTAAGTAACTGTCAGTTTCTCTGAAGCTGGAACGAAGTCTTCAGTTTTCGGGAACGTCTAAGGCAAATGCGATGTCGGCAATGAAACAGTTACTAGTTGCCCGTAGGGAATACAAGGAGAAGTTGTCTGAAAACGTGCTACTTGGACTTGCAAAGGGTTGTTTTTCAAGCGTTGAATTTTACCGCATGACCCACATAATATAACGGCTTGGTTATTACCGTTATGACTCAAAGGTGTTGCAAGAAAACCCCTATTAGTAGCATATAACGTTAAGGCGACCACATCGTTATAGTGTTCGCATTTTGACCTCTATATGTTTGACCAATATTTATAACTCGGCTATCAAGGCGGCTTATTTATATTCTTTTAATTTTTCCAACTCTCCAATTGTAAATGAGTATAATGTCATTTTTGAATTATAACCATCGTCGTATACGATAATGGTTGTATTAGATTGTGATACCATTACACAGAGATTTTATACATTTCGTCTATTAAAGGTACAAAGATTTTTTTCATATTAACTTTTATCGCTTACACACTTTGTATTTTGAATTAATTAATTTTACTATACTTTTGTGTTATTTTTATTTGTATTATAATGTGTATATATATATATTTTTTTAGGAAATATCAGAACAATGGTAGTTTTGGATGCAGAAACCAAGTCGTCGTATTGGTTAACTGTGATGGCATTCGATCACGCCACCGTTCCTTTACACTCTCGGCTTGAGGTAAGAATTTTATATGATATAATATACTTTTGCTCATTTGCATTAAAAGATACGAGAATATTCATCCCTAGGATGTTCGTTTCCCGAACAGGTCATAATTTTGCATACATTGCACGTCACTAATACCATTAAGAAGGTAGTGCATAGCATAATATTTTGGGTATATAATTATTTTTTCTTTAGATTTTCCTCTAAAGAATCTAATAACTAATATACAAACAAGCATAACTTTATATTTACTCAACTTTTATTCGCCGGAACTTACATCGTTATAAAATTTAATTATTTGATTATTTTAAATATTCCTTTAATCAAACAATAAAGACCCAGAATATTTTTTTATGACAATCAAGCATACATTTTTTAATAATATCAAAACTTTATATAAAAAAAATGTTGTTGACCAAATAGCTATGGTTTTTATACAGACATAGCGCGTAGACGAAGTATATTATGTACATACATTTTAGCGTAGATCGCAAGAGCAAAATATTAATGAAAGCAGTAACGTTTTGTGAAATCACCTGGGAATTCTTATCTCGTGTATTTTTTCTACCACTTACGCAGCTATCTATTTCCATCTTCACTCACTATCTAATAATGTTCAAGCTGAAGAATCTTTTAATAAAATGGGTGATAGCTGTTACCTAGAAAAAAAACTAAATAAAAAATATATAAATTGCTGACACAATTCAGTCAACAAAGTTTTCTATTAATGAACCACATTTTTATTACTTTAATCAATTATAATAGCAAAATATTTGTTAAATGGACAATTTGCTAGAGAATAATATATTGTTTTAATCAACCAAAAAGTTTGTCGGCTGTTATGCTAACAGATTTTCTTTAGTGTAAGAAGTTCAATTCATAAGTGGCGCTACCGCCTAGTTTAATTAAAAAAAAACATATATATCTTCAAGGCTAAAGCTTTTAGCGTAATGGAAATCTTATCAGATTCTTGTCAAAACGTTACTAGATTTGTTTCAAACGCGTTAAATTTTCTTCTCGTTCGTCATCAGAATATACCTTAATTACTGACACTCTTACAGTATTTCAATGTCTAATTAACCATTATATATTTTGTGAACAATTTTCTATCGGAATATTGGATGTACCCAGCTTAAAATGTTTAGGTCAATATTTGTTATTAATTTCATTATTATTTTTTAATCATGTTTAACGTTCTCTCTAAAAGCTATTTCTTGCGTATATAAAATATATTTAAAACAAATTGTATTCTAATATTACTATTAATTCAAGCCAAATAACTTAATTATTATTTATTTAAGGTCTATGTGGAAGTGAGAAACGTCAACGACAACATACCATTGACCAATGCTCCAATTTACTATCCGCGGGTTATGGAAAACGCACCAATTAATACGCCCGTTATTCAGCTGGAAGCAACTGATGCAGATTTGTCGCACACTAGAATAACATATAAAATAACTTCAGGCAATCCGCAATCATTATTCACAATAGCACCAAATACTGGTTAGTACTGGTTATCGTCGTGATTTTTTATTATAGGGAAAATGTTTAAATGCTTAAAAGTTTCAAATGATAAATAACTATAATAATTTCTCAATTTTCTTAATAATTTATTTTATTTTATTATCAAATTGTATTACATTTATCACTTAAATGGAAACAATTGCTTCTTTTACTCGTGTTACTAAAACTGTAATTATGAAAATAGCGTAAAAAATCTTAATCAAATATTTTAAAACAACTTGGTGTTGAAATTTAATCTAGGTTAAAACTACAAAAATGAACTTCAACAATTAAAATTCACTATAGACCGTTAAAATATTTATTTAAACCAAAGTTTGATAAAGTAAAGTTTTCAAAATATCCAAACTTTAATACCTATTTGTAAATAAGCTACAAAACTGAAAATGATTACAAAGAATTTTTGAAATAACTTCTTGCTACAATTTAAGATTAATTTGGATAAATAAATTTCTTCTTAGAAAAACATTTAATTCTTTTTAAATTTTTAATTGTAAATAAACTGTCTTTTATAGCAACTGTGTTTGAAGTATTAGCATAAACACGCCACTTTCAAAAAAAAATCCTAAACATTTTAACATGAATCACGAACATAACGGCAATGTATATTAAATATTCTACAGCTATTTCATGAACCACACATGATACTTGCATAGTTTAAATACATATTTATACCTTATTTTTTATTGTTTGAACAAAATTAAAAACATGTCTACCCGCGTAAAATATAATGGCTGGTAGAACGTTATTTACTTGGTTAGGAATTTCACAAGGAAAAATTAAATAAATAGCTTAGAATCATAAGTGCTTTATCTCATCCCTATTAGTTAACATCTATAACGTTAACGTCATAACCATTTCTATTCTTATTTTTAAGTTTTGTATATATTCTAATATTTATCTTAAAAATAGTTCAATATATCATCTTGCTTATAAATATCAGTCATGACCATTATTTATTTATAAAACAATTGTATTGTAATAAATAATTCTAAACTACCCTCAAAGAATTTTTTCTTAGATATTTTTTTTTTGTGTTAAATTTGTAGTTTCTCAAACCTGTTGTAAATTTATCTTTATTTTTGTTGTTTGGCTTATAGATATAGTTTTTTTAAGTACCCTCCAAAGCCAATACTGTATACTTGATATTTCCAATGCAAATATATATAAAATACCGAAATCCACCAATCTATATATTCTGTAAGATGTATGTATTATATTATGCATATAGTAACTCAACAACCACACTACTGCTAAGGTCAAAAATAAACAACATAAAAGTTAAAAGCTTTTTTTGTTTTTGAAAAGTTTATAAATTAAATATTTATGAAAAAAATTCACATAATTATTGTCTTTCATTTTTTCTAATCACCTTGAGAAATTTTTAACAATCTACAGAACACTAACTAAATAATTTTATGTTGTACCAATTATTAATTTGTTGTAATTGTTTCCAAAAATTTAAAAAATATAAATTCGTTACCTCTTAGTTTCTAATCTGGAACGTAATTTATGTTTTTCATCTATTTGCATTTTTACGTTGTTTCCAACAGCTGTATAATTTCTTTAGAAACTAAAAGTTGTAATAATAATTCAATATAGGTAGGTTTTGTTTGTATTGCTTCGCTTAGATAAAGCCTCGAACTCTCTTAGTGAACATATCATTACACTTTCGCAATTTCAGTTTACAAGTTCAATAGAATGGTTTTAAAAACATTGTGTTTTATATAAATTCAAAATGTGTCTTTATATTTTGAACATTTGATTCTAACAATTTCCTCATAAAAAATTTTTAGAAACATAATTTTTATATTTTAATATAATCAAACAAATGATGCCCAATAGATGTAATTACTTCATAGTTTATCCAATTTTTGTGCAGTTTGATAACAAAGGGCCCTTATTGCGGTTGGTGTAAATTTTTGGCTCTAACATCATTTGAGCTTATGCCACTAACCTCAATGTGTAATGTAGTGTTTGGGGATCATTTGGCGTGGGTATGAGTGTTATTTAATCGCATCTATATGACCGTCTCTTAATTATTTGTTAGTTGGATTATTTTCTAACTTTAAACTTAACAATAATAATCATACACAATAACACAGTATGGTTATAATATCAATAATAAAAGTTATAGTTTAAAGTGCCCAATGCGGCCAATGGCCAGACGTGAAATTAGCAAAATAATGTTCACGGATATTGTGTTACACATACTTTATAACAATATCATAGAGCAATAGTAAATGTACACAATTCGTTTTATCGATCGCGCTTGACTTGGACGTTGTATAATGCTGCAGGGTTTTAATACACTTGGCAACAATACCCTATATATATATATATGTTGATGTAGTATTGTGTATTAACTTAGGAAGACACCGCTAATGGCTCAATACTATTCTATGGACATTTATACATCATTAAAATAGAATGTGTGTATGTACGTGGCAGTGTATAAATATATCCAATGGTGATTTAAGTCTATCAGTGTAAGAGTGGCCCAACTCACTTTTTGAAATTTTACTTTAAACATCAATAGAATACATGACATTTTACCAAAACGGTTAAATTTAGAATTTTTAGGATTACAATTTCAAATGCAACCCTAAATTATTAAATGTAGACTTAAATATCTACAATTTAAAAAACTAAAGCATTAAATATTTTAATTTCATACAAATTATTTTATTGACGTTGAAAGTTAATTTTCCAAAAAGTGAATTAGAGTACTCCTCGTACACTAATAGCCTCAATTATCCTCTAGGCTTTGTTCGACAATAACGTTAAAATAGTTTGTAGGCATAACCCTAATAATTTCGGTTCAACTACCACCAAATTAGCGTACTGTTATACTTGATGAAATCACGTCTGATTCGATTTGGCTAGTCGGAATACTCGTAGATAAGTTCATGGTGGTAGCCCGTGTACGTGACACTATAGTTGTCCTGCTTGTGAGTCTCCGAAAATCCTATTGGATTTGTCCTTACAAAACCACCCTACATTAGTATTAACTCGCCTTTTAATAACTCGATGATAACACACACAAAAATAATCTCAAACTTCAGTTTCTGCGGCTATAACCTTTAATTAACCAAACCTGTGCTTATGTCTTTGACCTCTGGAAACGCCAACGCACCACAACTTTGAAGAGTTATTACTCTTAGTTATGAAATTCTCATAAATATGTTAATACAATAATAACAAGTTCCCGCCAACCGCGTTTACTCTCGGCCATTGCATACGTATATATATATTTAAACAGATTATGTACACATTATAATGATGTGGTGTAACATGTTGCAAAATATTAAAACTCGTGTGTATGTGGAAACATTTTTTTTTTTCCCTGAGGAGCACAAAAAATGATACGGTTCACCGAAGTAAATAATTTTACAACGCATACAATAAACCTTTGCGAGCTATATTTTTGTGATCTCATGTAGAAGAAGAAGAATAATACCGTAAAACTTTCGTATTATAATTTCATCGATCACACCTTATCTTGGTATAACAACTAATATTACTGGCACCTACACAAACGTTTTACCTTATTACTCTGTAGGCTATTATTATTCCTTTATAGAACACTGCAAAATAATCATTTGTTCAAAAATATATATAAAACATACACTCGTACTCAATTATCACATTTATTCATTATTTGTTCCTGTTACTAAACTATCAATCTACTTACCTGTTTTTAGGTCTCATCAGTACAACTGGACGAAAACTTGATCGGGAAACAGAAACCGAACACGTATTAGAGGTAATATTTTTACTTAATTATTTTACAATAATTTCTTAGAATACTGTTGATTCAATAAAGATTATTTCTCTGTAATTGTTATTGTACTTTAAAAATAAAAGAAACCAGCGCAGGAGGGTCGCGGCACAGTGATGACGTGGCATAGTTGGGTCAAATATAATGATATCTGACTGTGATTAAAATCACTATCATAAAAAACGATTCGATGCAAATCTTTAGATAGTGTTTAATTTTAAAAAATTGGTGGGTTATTACAAAAGCGACATGATCTGCTATTTCCTTATTTATATCCTGATTAAGATATAGTATGTCAAATAAAAGAGGGATATAAATATTATTTCTCATAAAAAAATTGTATTGATCCATACACTTTTCAATAAGTTAAAGCATTATAAAGTTAAACATTTTAAAAATAAAATCCAAAATTTTCACACAAAAATAGCATTTGGTAACTATTTTCATCGTGAAGGCAAAATAAAGTACGAAATTTTTTTTTTTTCATAATAAAATACATTATATTAGCTTTAATTTAAGATATACAAATATATATAAAAATGTTAGACTTTCCGGAACACTTTCAAAAGTTAAGTTGAAAAAGTTGTCATTTTGAATCCTCCCTGTGGGCAGGTAAAGGGTTAGATTTATAAAAAAAATATGCCAAATGAAAGGTAAAGATATCATGCATCTATAAAAAAAATTGTATTGATTTGGTTATTTTTAAAAAAATTACAAAATTCGTTTCAAATTTTATCTATAATTTTTTAACTTAAGGTGACTGTCATTGATGATGGAATACCCGTGTTGTCATCGACCACCAGTGTGGTGGTATCAGTAGACGATGTTAACGACAATGTTCCAGAAATGTTAAAGAAAGCTTATAGGTTTAAAATACCTGAAACGCAACCCGTGCAAGAACCTCTCACTCAAGACAACAGTACGGTGATGTCGGGAGAATTGTTTGAAACAGATCTACAACTTCTAGAAAGTAAGCCGTGGATTCTTTTTGGACCAAATGACATTATTGGACCGGCACTCTTCAGGGTAAGTAAAAATTAAAAAAAAACTATGTATTTAATTATAGGTTGATATTTAAAAACGTAAAATAAGTACTTAACTTGTTCTAAAGGGTATAATTTTTAGTTTATTTTTAAAAATGTCAGTATTATGTAGTAATAATATTAATAATAAAAATGAATAAATTATGTATATTTTCGTACTATATACTATAACATAGTAATACATTATACAGGTCATAGCAAAAGACAAAGATTCAGGTGAAAATTCCAAACTGACTTATACATTAAAAGCTGCTCCCGGATACGAAGACATATTTGCGATTCAGCCGGAATCAGGTGTCATACATTCGGACCACAGCTTTAGAGGAAATCAGGACTATACGTTTTATGTAAGTATATATAAATATATTTACTTTGCGTGATGAGTATATTAAAGTAGTACAATATAAATATACTATCCATTAAGTGTTAATAAAATTAATTTGAGGGTTGATAGATATTATGTATCTTATAAGAACATCATTCAATCTCAAGAAGTGGTTTTCATTTGTTTATCTCAAATGTAAGAGTTATGCATAATAGAAGTTTATATTTTTACCCGACAAAATTCAACATTGGTCATTCATTGTATGAATAATAATAATAATAAACCAATAAATAAAAATCTAATTTATAAACTTTTTTTGTGGACATCAATAAAAAAAAGTAACTTCATCATTATTTAAGCACAACTATATTACTGTTGTATATTTACTTAATTTTAAATAAATCTGATGTGTCATGAATAAAGGTTACCCAGAGCTTAAAAGGCCTATCACTTATTTTACTAGTTTGTCAAGTTTAGTGACAATTTTTCTGAATTTTTTTTTTTTTGTCCATTTTTTTATGTTAGCGATATTATCCATTAGTAGGGGGGTTATAGGTCTTAATCCGGTCCAATTCATGAAATTACTAATTTGTATCATTAGAATGTTTCTTTTTTGTTAAAATGTTAATTCATTATTATTCGTACGATCTTCTCTTTATTACTACTATAATTTTTAAGTTACATATATATTTTGAATTTAAGTCGAATTACATTTATCTCTACCTACACACAAATGTGTAACGTGGACAAAAGCCAAAAGCATTTATTCTTTGCATATTAGAGAAAAATTCCTAACCGTTACTATACTATCCACGTACGTTAAGTCCTATTTGTTTCACTATTCACCTATTTAAACCTCTCCCTCTCGTGTTTTTTTTACCAATGTTTCGCGTTAATGTATTCTATAATAGTTTTATAAGTTATTTATTTTAAATGCATGGTTTGGATTTACAAACACATTGACAGATTTAACAACATAAGTAAGTTTATCAATAATTTGAATAAATTTTTTTAACGACTATAACGATTTAGAATTAGATATGCTACTAAAAAAATTCCAGAATTTCCTACATTCATTAAAGATATTAGTTTTTATTTCCTCTGTCATTTATCCAGGAGCACGTAATTTCTTTCGAAGTAAAGTTAATGCATTCTAAGAATTGATGTAATTTTGTTTATTTCTTTCAAATTTTACTCAAAAAAAAAAAAAATGCCAAACATGTATTACACTTAATATTTGCTGTACTATTAAGTATTGCTTAATAAAAACATCACAAACATCGTCAATCTGGTTTAAAACTCTTGTTATAAATGAACATCATGAAATAAGTTTTGGAAATCTACATTTTATAAAACTGATGTTTGTTTATTATAACTTTTTCGATTTTAGACCGTACACATAAAAAAAAGTTTGTATGTGGTCCGCATATTACGTGATAACCACCATTCATGTGTATTAGACATATTTTATAATAGAATAAATCTTATACCAAGTTAAAAGTATTTACATTTTTAACTTTTTTTTTTTTTAGCAATAAGATTTTGATTAAAGAAATAAACTAATTTGTTTAATTTAGTTACTCTTCAACTACTAAAAAAATATAATTTGAGGCATTTTAGACTTTTTTAAATTAACAGCTTAGTGTTCTCAATATGAGGCATAAAAATGTCATTGTTATTAGGACCCTATTTTTAATTATAGAAGTCTGTCTATGTTGTAACGAGATCAAAAATGTAATCAAGTTATTGTGGTTTTTTAACTTTATTCTCGTATTTCTCAAGCACTTTAAATCGATTACTGATGAAAATTAATGACTACTGTTCCGTCGTTATTTCATACACAAACCGTAAACTATATGAAAATAGTCATATGATCATATGACTATTTATAAGACTGTATAAAAAATATATTATAGTTTTCATATAGTCTGTGCACAAACGTTCGAACGTTTATTTTATTGAAATTTAACCTAAGGTTGTAATTCAAAATATTTTATACGGATTTAATTAATATTTCCTTAAATCAAAAAATAAGCTGTGTGTCTTTAAGTTACATTTCATGAAATTATTTTAAAATAAATCTCCAATAAATGTTTTATTTTAGCTTTAAGCTCCATTCATTATAATAATTGTTTAACTAACCATCCGAACTTTTGTTCAGGTAAGAGCTACAGATAATGGATCACCTAATATGAGTGCGGTAGCAATTGTAATCGTTGACGTTTTAAAAATTCCGGAAAACTCCAAGTATGCACCAGAAATTCAAAACCCTAACCTTAAAGTAGACATTACAGAAACCGACACTATTGGTTTCGTAGTAGCACTCATTATGGCCACTGACAAAGATCAAGATTATTTATGGTACAAAATTGATGGTAAGTACATTTTACTTTTAATAAAAAAATGATTTTTATTTGCCTTAATTAAAAGTACAAAATTAGACTGAAAGATGTTTAAAAAAAAAATGCATCAATTCGCTTTATTTCATCTTAATTGATGTAAATCATAAGTTATTAAGATTATTTTTTAACCAGAAGATAGATACAAAACTTTCTATCTTCAAATATTCTATTGAAATTAATTTGGATTTTGAATTAGGTGGTGATCCTAATTTGGATTTCATGGTTGACGATAATGGTAATGTGCTTCTGGCCCGACAGTTGAATTGGGAGTCTGTAAAAGAGTATAATCTAACCATATCTGTGACGGATGGCGTATACACAACAACCACCCAACTTTTTGTCAGCGTCAAAGACATTAATGAATACCGACCCAAATTCTCACTAGATATATATGAAGTAAATGTGACAGAAAATGCTGAAGTAGGCTCTCCAGTAATTCAACTTGTAGCTACCGATGAAGACCAAGACATGAAATTATTGTATGGAATTCATAGTGCTCAACACGTTAATTCAGTAAAATTATTTGCTGTTGATTATCTATCTGGCATGGTATCTGTAGTGCAACCATTAGATCGGTAATTTAAATTCTAATACATCTTCCATTTAATATAGAATACAATATCTAATAATAGTAGTTATTGACCATATTTACTATTTTATATATTTTAACTTCAATCCTATTTTACAGTGAAAGCATAGCTAGACACGAACTTACTGTAGTTGTAAAAGATCAAAGTACTCCATCCAAAAAGAACTTTGCTCGAGTTGTAATCACAGTTACGGATAGTAATGACCATGCTCCTGAATTCAGTTCAAATATAATTCAAGGTCGAGTGTTTGAAACTACAGCTATTGGAACTAGTGTGCTTCAATTAATGGCTACGGATAAGGATCATGGTGAAAACGCTGCCATTTCTTATCAAATAATTTCCGGTGACTATCATTTAGAATTTTGCTTGATTTTCATTACTTCAAGTTTTTAATTAATGAATAAAAAAAATGTGTACTCTTTAATATATAAATAAGTTATTTATTTTAATATAAAATAANAAAAATGTGTACTCTTTAATATATAAATAAGTTATTTATTTTAATATAAAATAAAATTATTTTGATAAACCCTGGGGTATAATTAAAAATAAATTAGAAACTATTATACAAGAGTCTAGAATTACAGGAATGTATTAACAAAAATTAGGATTTATCGAATTAGTCTATTTTAGCCAACATTATTAACAATATTTTAACATAAAAATATTTTTTAATGTGCAAATAAATAAATTTATTTTGAAATATATTATTTAATTATATTAAGACATTTTTTTTAAGAAATAAAAATTTTTCATTTACTTAATAGAAGATGAAATTTAATTTTGCTATTCTGAAAATCAGACATTTATTTATATACTAAGTCTATATAAGCCCTAATCTGTATACATATATATTTAAATATCAGTACAGTAGGGTCGTAATACAAAAGGGTTGTGTCATAGTGGGGTCAAGTACACTGTTGTGTACTAATATCTGTTGTGATTTACATCATTCTCATGAAAAAAGCTTTAATGCGAATCTGTTATATTTTAAAATATTTAATTTATCTGTAAAAAAAAAAGCTATGTGGGATAGTTTTTACATTGATGGCCAATTTCTCATAGTAAAACAATTGGGCAAATTTTTTTTTTTTAATACTGTACTTGTTTTATAATACACTTAAAAAGCTTTAATTTGATAAAAATTTAAAGTAAATGGTTTTTTTTTAAACTTTTTTGTATTTAGATAATTCATTACATTTTCATAAAAATCATATCAAAAAAGTCTTATTGTATTTAGTATATCATACTAAAATTTTATTTAGGTCAGTATTTTACCAAGAAAAGTTATAGCAGTTTTAGTGTAATTTAAATGTAGACAATTTTTTTTTTTTTTTTTTTAAAATACAATTTATTATAATTTTGTAATTTTGAAATACTTGTCTTAATTTCTAATATTGACATGATATTTTCCAATTTTTGGTAACAATTAGATTAATATCTGGTTGCTTTGATTTGTTGATAATTAAAATTGGTCCAGTGAGAGCTGAACATTTTTATAGACTGATAAAAAAAAAATGCACACCATCGCAAAACTAATTCTTTTTCAGCTTAATATCAAAACTAAAAAATTATGTAGGATACATAGAACATGTATAAAAACTGTATTAAAAATTTTATTAATCTACAAATTTTTAAAAAAGTTATATAGCAATATAAAGTTGAAAATATAAAATTGAGAATTTCAACACAAAAATAGTATATTTATGCTATTATAAAATAGAGTATTAGAATATGGTAGCTGTTTTACTGATTTTAATAGTTGCAATTTTTGAAAGAGTTTCCTAATTAAGGAAATTGAAAGATTTTTGGCGATCACAAGCTCAACTAGATATAATTTATAATATTTTTCTATGTTTTTATAAACAAAATCAATACAATAAGTGCTAAAAATGTCTAAACTGTCTTGAAGAACAATTTATATGAATTTTAAAAAGTAATAAAACTCTGTTAACAATAATTAATTAAACATTTTTAAATTATTATTATTTTTATATTTTTATTTTTAATTTTTCATACATTTTTGGTTGTATATCATTGATTTTTTTTATAGTTGTTCTTAAGATTTTTTTGTACAGTGTGATTTAGACCATACTGACAATACTTATAACTGTAGATACAATAATCATTTTGTTAAAATTTTCTTGAAAATAATTATTGCCTTCATAGACTATGTTTAAAGCATTTTTTTAATTAATCACTAATAAAGAAAAAGTTATTATTTTTTTACAAAACAGCCTTTTTTATCCCTTTTTTTACAAAAAATGTTGATGGATGAATAATAATTTCAGAACAAATTTACTGAGTTACAAGCATTTTACAGAAGTTACTAATTTATTTTTAATTATACTCCAGACGGATAAAAAAATTTATTATTTATTATTTTATTTTAATTAATTATTTATTTATATTTCTTAATTAAACTTTTTACAGGCAATATTGGCAATGTTTTTAGTCTTGATAGCAAACTGGGCACATTACATATTATGAAAGAACTAGACATTTCCACTACATCAGAATATATTCTCACAGTAAAAGCTATTGATTCTGGATCACCTCCTTTATACTCCACTGTGCCTGTATATATCATGGTTGTTATGGCAGACAATGCACCACCTAAGTATGTTCTACTAAATTTTGCTTGTTATTTATTTAGTAATTTAAAAAACCCGATATATAATTACAAATACTATTTCATAAAAAGTATTTATAGTTTCAAATTATTTTTTTTACGGGTTAAATTTTATGTTTTTTCTAGATTCAGTAAATCTGAAGAATCTGCTGAAGTATATGAAAATGAACCGTCTGGAACTGTTGTAAAACAATTACAGGCTCGTAGCACTTCCTCTTTATTATTTGAACTAGTTAAAGGTGACACAGATGATTTATTTACTATAAATCCTAGTACTGGTGTCTTGATCACCAAAAGAATTCTAGATTATGAAACAAACCACATCTACAATCTTAGTGTGACTGCTACCAACATGGTTAGTCTATCTATTATTATTATTATTATTATTTTTTTTTTTTATGTGAATTAAAATTTTGTTAATTTTTATATTAAATTAATTTCTGTTATAGGCTGGTGCAAAAGCAATATGCCAGATAACTGTACATGTACTTGATAGAAATGACAATCCACCTGTTTTGATTAATACCAGTTATAAAGGAGTGATAAGTGAAGCTGCACCTATTGGATCTCTAGTCCTACTAAATGATACACTTCCGTTATTAATACAGGCTACAGATGCTGACTCTGGTTCTAATGGTCTATTACAATATGAAATTATTGAGTTCACTCAAAGCAGGATGTTTCATGTGGTTTCCAACACTGGTATTATATAAATTTATTGTTAAGACCGTAACCATGAATTTATTCAAACATTTTTTATTAGGAGCTATTAGAACTACTTCTCTATTGGATTATGAAACCACGCCAAATATTACATTCCATGTCAGAGTTATTGATCAAGGTAACCCTAGACAGACATCTGAGATACTTGCAACAGTATTGATTTCTATACTAGATATAAATGATTGTCCTCCCATATTTACTAATTATGAGTACAATGCATCAGTTTTGGTACCAACATTTGCTAATGTAGCAGTCATTCAATTAGAGGCTTTAGATGGAGACTCGGAAAAAGTTACAAAGCTTACCTATACTATTGAAAATGGAAATGAGGCAAATATCTATGCCATTGATAGTGAAAAAGGCTTAATTACAGTTCGAGAACCTAGCAATGGAATTAAGTCAAGTCCTCATAATTTAGTTATATCTGTAACAGATGGAAAATATTCTAGTCAATCGTAAGTTAGCCTCATATAATAAAAACCCAGCACAGGGGGGTCGCGGCACTGTTGTGACGTGGTATAGTTGTATCAAGTATAATGATATCTGACAGTGATTAAAATCACTATCAAAAATAAACGCTTCGATGCAAATCTTTAGATAGTGTTTAATTTTAAAAAAATTGGTGTTTTATTCCAAAAGCTACTTGATCTGCTGGTTCCTTATTAATATCTCGATTAAGATAAAGTATGTCGAATGAAAAAGGGTTTATTAAAAAATATTATTTCTCATAAAAAAATTGTGTGGATCCATAAACTTTTCAATAAGTTATAGCATTATAAAGTTAAATATAATATAAATAATAAAATCGAGAATTTTCACACGAAAATAGCATTCGGTAGCCATTTTCGCCGTGAAGACAAGTCCAGAGGTCAAATTTTTTTTTTTCAAATTAAAGTATATTACATTAGCTTTAATTTAAGATATATATAAAAGTGTCAGACCTTCCGGAACATTTTCAAAAGTTAAGTTGAAAAAGTTAATTTTTTGTGAAAAAGTTGTCATTTTAAATCCCCCCCTGTGGGCAGATAAAGGGTCAAATTTACAAAAAAAATATATCAAATGATAGGTAAAGACATCAAGCATCTATATAAAAAAAAATTATATTGATATGTTCATTTTTGAAAAAGTTACGGCAGTTTTTAGTAAAAAAAATTGAAAAAATTTCGAAAATTAGCGATTTTTAAATTTGTAATTTTTTTGGAGGTTTCCCCCATTTACAGGGAACGAGGGAAATTTTTTCAATTTTGAAGGGTAATGTCTTCGACTAGATACGATTTGTGATCTTTTGACGTATCGTTGAAAGAAATCCGTTCGGTGAGAGCTGAGAAAAAGTGGTAACAGACACAAAAAAAAAAATAAAAATAAAAAAAAAACACATCTTAGTAAAACCAATACCTTCTCAGCTTCGAATCGAAGCTAAAACTTAATAAAAGTATTTTTTATGATAATTAATCTCTCAAGTTGAACAATATAATACAAAACTATAATTAATAGTATGGCATGTTATCTTTTCATGCTTTATTTTAGATTAAATCAATTTAATCAATTATTTTATAAAACTTGGTTAATGTTTGCTTACTTTTTAGAACTGTCAATATTATCTGGTACCGAAGTGAAGATTCAAGTCTTAAATTCCAAAAGCCAATATATTTTACTACTGCTATGGAAAATGATATAAAAGTTAGATTTTTGTGTGCCGTTACTGTTATTGGGGCTCATCTCAATGAACATCTTTTATTTTCTATATCCAATCCTAGTAAATACTTTCAAATAGGTACTACTACTGGTATTTTAAGCACAACTGGACTGGCTTTTGACCGTGAAGTTAAAGAAGTTTATCAAATTATTGTCCAGGTAATTATTGAAATTTCAAAAAAAAATTGAAAATATTTTATACTAATGACAATAATGAATGGAAGATAATATCATTTACTTTTATTATGTCATCTTTTATAGGCTAAGAGTATGGATGCTGACAGTGATGTTTTAAGGATTGCTCATGTACCAGTTAATGTAACAATTTTAGATGTTAATGATAACCCTCCAATGTTTGTGAATCTTCCATATTATGCTGTTGTATCAATTGATGCCAAAAAAGATGATTTAGTTACAAAGGTTAAATGAAATCTTTTATACTAAACTTTTAATTTTTATTATATAACTTTTTTTTAAGCTTATGATTTTTTTTTTTTTTTTAGGTACATGCCATAGATTTGGATCAAGGAGAAAATGCTGCAGTACGATATGAATTAACAAAAGGACCAGGTGAACTTTTTAGAGTATCTCGAAGCACAGGAGAAATATATTTGCGTCATAATCTTGAAAGTCAGAATAATGGTCGTACTAGTGAGTACAAGCTAACTGTTGCTGCATTTGATGGTGGTAAGAAAATAAATTTTAATTGATTTTTTTAATTTACCCTTAGTTATAATTTAATATTATCTTTTGTAATTTTATTAGGCTTAACATCTTATTCAACGGAAGTTGAAGTTAATGTTAAAGTCATGGACCGATCAATGCCTGTGTTTGATAAACAGTTTTATTCTGTATCTGTTCCTGAAAATATAAATCTCTATACTTCTTTACCCTTATCCATAAGAGCTGATTCTCCACTTGCTAGAAAATTAATTTACAGTATTGTAGCTGGAAATACATTTGAAGAATTTGCTATTGATTTTAATACAGGTGAGTTTATATGATGATAAATCATCATGTTTCTATTATTGATTACTTGATTACTCAACCATTTTCTTTGGTGTTGGATGGTTTCTTTATAAATCTTGATTATCTAAATAATATTATTAGATTTTATATAACACTTATCATATATTTTCTTTTCTTTTTTTTTTGGTGACTTAAGCAGCTGATGATTTTGGTAGTACTAGTGAGTACATTACTTCTTTCTTAATGTGTGCATTTTTCATTATAAATAATCAACTTAACAATTTAAAATACAGCACTCATATTTCTTATTAAATACTAAACACTTATTTCATTTTGGTGCATGGGCTCTTCAATTTAAATTTATTATTTGTTTGTATACTTAATTATTTTTCCTTACAATTTATTGTTTCAATTAATTTTGCTTGTAATATTGATAAAATTTCAATAATTAAATATTTTATGTTTAATACAAGATTTTTGATATCTGGGGATAGGTTTATTATATGTTGTGGACAATTTGGATTTTGAACAAGTGCAACACTACACTTTAACTGTTCGTGCGATTGACAGTGTATCTGGTGTCTCAGCTGATGTTTTAGTTAGCATCATGGTTACTGATGTCAATGATTGTGCTCCTGAATTCCTTCAAGATTCTTATAATGTTTCTATATCCGAGTCTTCATCATTTGGATCATTCATACTTAAAGTCATGGCTACTGATAATGATACTGGTAAATAATATTAACAATTTATAATAATATAAATGAAGAATATTAATTTTTTTTAGGTATAAATCAAGTACTTAAATATTCAATTAAAAAGGACAGTGAAAATTCTACTGATTATTTTCACATTGATGAAAAAGAAGGATCAATTTATCTTAAACAAGCTTTAGATCATGAAACACATTCATCCCATCATTTAGTTTTAGAAGTATCTGATTCTGGTGTGCCTCCATTAAAAAGTACTGCTCATCTTTGGGTAAATGGTATGTTGTATATTTTCATATTAATATTTATTAACCACATTTCAACACTATTCTTTAACTACTATTTTACTTCTATTTCTTCAGTAATTGATGTTAATGATAATGCCCCCAAATTTGAACAACCATCATATTCATGTTGGCTTTCCAAAGATGCTGAAAGAGGCCAATTTGTTACAATGGTAACAGCTACTGATCCTGATATTGTAGATCATTCTCGTTTAATTTATGGTATAACTGGTGGAAATACTCAACAAATGTTTGATATAAATTCAACTTCTGGTAAAAATAATAATAATATTTCAATATTCTAGTATTATACTAATATTTTATGTGTTATATTTTTTCATTTAGGAGTTATCATTGTTTTAAACTTAAACAAATTATCTACAGAAAATGAACATGTACTCAATGTATCTGTTAGTGATGGTGTATATACAAGTTTCTCAAGAATTAGAATAGAAATGATATCAACTAATAAACATTCTCCTGTGTTTGAAAAACTTCAGTATGATGCACGAATTATGGAAAATCAAGCAGTAGGAACTGAAATTATTAGAGTTCAAGCAATTGACAGTGATACTGGCCCTTATGGTGAAATAAATTATTCCATACCATCAAAAAAGTTATCAAAAATATTTGATATTAACAATATCACTGGTTTGTACTAATAATTCATATATATATATTTTCAGATAAATGTGATTTTGCTTTAGAGCTTACAATCTTTCTCAAATTTTCTAAACAAAATTTTATTATTATTATTTTTTATTTGTTTTTTTTTTTTTTACTTTGGTTACTAGATCATTAACTTACATTGGGCTATATAAGTTATTTTTAAATTTTTTAAAAATGAAAAAAATTGTTCCTTTCTATCCAAACCATAGAAATATCAAATGTATATAATGTTCGTTGTAGGTATTAATTTTTAATAATTGTATTGCATTAGGAGAAATTGTGTCTAAAGTTACATTAGATAGAGAAGATACATCTATGTATGAAATCAATGTATTAGGTTGTGATCAAGGAGCTAGATGTGGATTTACACTAGTCAGAGTTCGAGTGAGTGATATGAATGACAATTCACCAAGGTTTTTATTACCTGAATACAAAACTTGTATAGATAGTTCTTTGCCAATTAACACCAGATTTTTAATGGTATGATAATTAAAATTTTTCTTTTGAAATTAATTATTTTTAAAATTTATGCCATATGATGTATAAAACTTAAATAGGTGAAATCTATTGATGATGATCAAGAAATAACTGGGCAAATTACTTATTCTATCAATGACATTGAACCTAGTGATATTACTTCAATATTAACAGTTAATAAATACACAGGTGCCCTAGTGCTTTTAAAAACTGTTGAATCTTTAAGTATGTAAAAATGTAGCTTAACATTTCAATAATACTTAATAATATTATGTTATAATCGTAATATTATTATAATATTATATTTTGATTTTTTAATAGAAAATAATGTATATCAGTTTTTTATACGGGCTACTGATAACGGTGTTCCTCCAAGATCATCAGATGTTCCAATTGAAATTTTGATTTTATCACCTGAAGATTTACCCCCAGTTTTTTTGCAACAAGATCAAAGGTTTAATATTTCTGAAAATGCTCCCATTGGTACATAAAAAGTTCTAATATTATTTCATATTTATCAAACTTTTTAATTATCAATTTTAAACAGGTACTATAGTCACCACTGTTAAATTGGTGTCTGAAGTTGATGCTAAATATAGAATAACAGCATCAGAAGAAACAACAAAATTATTTACAGTTAATAATAAAGGTCAAATTATAACAACTGGTATTTTAGATAGAGAAACATTAGCGGTACATATATTAGGCATATATGCTTACACAGAATCATCACCACCACTTACAGCACTAACTGAAGTATACATTAAAGTTTTGGACGAAAATGATAATGTACCAGAATTCGATAATGATTATTATAATGTTAAAATATCTGAGATAATTGCCGAAGGAACTCCTGTTGTTAAAAGTAATTTAATATTAAATGATTGAACTTTAAGTGTCAAGACAGAGGCTTCAATTAATATGCTGCATACTCTAGCAAGTTCATTTATAATTTTTTTTTTAGCTTGTGCAACTGATATTGATGAAGGAAAAAATGGCGAGATAAAATACTTAATAAATTCAGACATTAATGTTCCATTTGTAATTGATCAATATTCAGGATCTATAAGTGTTTCTACATCAAAATTAGATAGAGAAGTTAAATCATCATATTTATTTGATGTAATAGCTCTTGATTGTGGAACACCTTCACTTAATTCTACTGTAAAAGTACATATTACATTAGTTGATTACAATGATAATCCATCCCATTTTTCACAAAACATGTATTCAGCTTCAGGTTTGATTTATTTTATTTATTGTTGATTATTCATACTTATATGTATATTTATTGTAGTTGAAGAAGATTCATTGCCTGGAACAGTTGTTGTACAATTGACTTTAATAGATGAAGATCATGAACTTCCCAGTACATTAATGTATCATATATATGATGGTGATGTCCATTCAAATTTTGCCATTCGATCAACAGGTGAAGTGTATGTAGCTAATATGTTGGACAGAGAAACATTAGATAAATATCAACTTACTATTCTGGTTACTGATGGAAAATATGTTTCAACTACAAAACTTCAAATTAGTGTAACTGACATTAATGGTAAATTATCATGTTTCTTATTTAATATTACATTTTTAATTAAAAACTGATGAATAATTTATTTACACTTATGGTTACTGTTAAAAGTTTAAGTAACAAAATTAATATTTTTAAAATTTGTAAAGTAAATTTTATTTGATTTTTTAGATAAAATGCCCATATGCTTACATTATAGCTATAAGCATATGTTATCTGAAGGGGCATCTATTGGAACTATTCTAATGACAATTGAGGCTCAAGATGAGGACTTAAATCCAAAATTAAGATATTTTTTAACTGGTAATGGAGCAGAACATTTTAGTTTAGACATTGACACAGGTAAAGCTTGTTAATTATTTTCTTTTAATTAATGTCTTATTTAATCATTATTAAATCTGTGGCTTAAATTTAGGTCTGCTAAAAACAGCAGTACTCTTAGATCGTGAAAAACAATCTCAATATAGTTTGGAGGCTCATGTTCAAGATCGAGAAAAAAATGAATGGGAATGTATAAGTATGGTAGAAATTACAATATTAGACATTAACGACAACCCTCCTATGTTTGTTTCTAATAATAATTCAGCTTCATTATCTGAAGATGCTCAAATTGGCACCATTGTTATTAAAATTCATGCTAATGATGCTGATATAGGTAAGAGCTCTAGTTCTATAAAGTCTTTAAATATTGTCTAATTTTAATATTATTTTAGGTTTAAATAGAAAATTTAAGTATTTATTACAAGATTCAGCAGAAAATCATTTTATAATATCTTCAGATAGTGGTATAGTAACCCTTGCCAAAAAATTAGATAGAGAAATATGTGAAAATTATAACATAACTATAAGAGCTATTGATCATGGTACTCCTCCACTTTCAGCTTTCACACAACTTTTTATAAATGTATTGGATGTGAATGACAATCCCCCAATATTTGTTCAGAGGTAATATAAAATAAATTACTAAATAAAAGTATTTTTAATACCTTTTTCAATTTATTTTAGAATATATTATGCAACTGTATCAGAAATAGCTTCCATTGATACAGAAGTCACTAGAGTCTTAGCTACATCCTTAGACTCTGGTATAAATGCACAAGTAGTGTACTCTATTGTTGGTGGCAACGAACATAATAAATTTTCAATTAACACAGAATCAGGCATAATTAGTGTATTTGAAATGTTAGATTATGAACGTGTACATGATTATTTATTAACTGTTCAAGCAACTGACTTGGGTGAACCACCTCTCAGTAACCAAGCAACCGTAAATATAACAGTTTTGGATGCTAATGACAATGCACCAATATTTGGACAACTAGCTTATACAACTCAAATCAGTGAAGACTTACCCATTGGTGATGTATTTATTAAAGTATCTGCGACAGATTTAGATAGCGAAATGAATAGCAAAATCCGTTATGCATTGGTAAAAGGAGATCATCATCAACAATTTTCAATAGACCCATACACTGGCAATATAACAATAATCAAACCCTTAGACCGTGAATTTGTAAGTACAATATTAAAAGTATAATGTTAATACTTTTTAATTGAATACTCAGTATTAATCAATAGTTTATTAAGGTCACCATAAAAATACTGTATATATGTATATATATGATAATGTATATATTTAAAAAATACAATATTTTTTTCAAATAAGTTGTTTTATTTGTATTTTTCAAGACACTGTATTTTTTGTATATTATTGAATTTGACTCAATTTTATAATGTAATTTAACTGATATTGATTATATTTTTATAGGTATCAAGTTATAATCTACAAATTAGAGCAACAGACTCTGGTACTCCAGAATTAATGAGTTTTGCATTAGTCAACATACAAATTACTGATGTCAATGATAACCCACCATTATTTTCTCAACACAACTACTCAGCATTTGTTCATGTAAATTTAATTATTAGTAACAGAATTTTATGTTTTATTATTCTATCTTTTTTATAATTTAAAATAGGAAGATAAAAAACCTGGTTGGATTGTTTGTCAGCTGTCTGTAACAGATGCAGATATAGACCCTAACAGTGGACCTTTCATTTTTGATATACGTAATAGTGAAGATGGCAAAGCATTTAGTATTGATCCAGATGGTACAGTTCGAACAGCATCACTTTTGAATCATCGAATTCAGCAAAATTATGAATTAGAGATTCGTGTTTTTGATAATGGAAAACCAGTTTTACATTCTGATACTTGGCTCAATATCAAAGTAATAATAGTTTTAATATATTGATTATAAATTTAACTAATTTTTTTTCATAAATAGGTTATAGAAGAATCACAATTTCCACCAATCATAACACCTCTAGAAGTTTGGGTTGGTTCTTGGCAAGATAGATGGGAAGGTGGTACTATTGGTCAAATACATGCTACTGATGAAGATGAATATGACTCATTAGTATATTCTGTAATAAACCAAAAAGAACTTTTTAAAGTAGAAGAACGATCTGGGGAACTTAGAGCTCCTCAAGGATTAGACGCAGGAGTTTATTTTGTGAACATATCAGTTAGTGATGGTAAATTTTCATCATTTTCTACAGCTAATGTTGTTGTTGAATCATTAACTGATGATATGTTATCTGAAACTATCAGCATAAGGTATTAAATATTTTTGAAAAACTTCTTTTTTTTTTCTTTTAAATTATGTCTTGAGTATATTTTATACTTTATTTGTTATAGATTAAAGTCAGTTACTCCACAACATTTCTTATTAAATCAAAAGAAAATGTTAATGCGTTCACTAAAAATAAATTTGGGCAAAGAAGTAAGCCTAATTAGTATTCAAGATGCACCCCAAGGAAATTTGGACATTTTACTTTACATCAGAGAAGTAATTATTATTTGTTAATTTTTAATATTATTTAACTATTTTTTATAAAATTCAATTATTAGGGTATTGATTTGATCTCTATGCATACTGCTCTTCAAAAAGCTGGACTTATTATGTCAAATAATGTTCATCCATGCAACTGTACTCCTGGACAAGGTGTATGTAGTCAGCGCATTACTTGGCTTCCTGATCAAGTGCAGACAATAATTACTGATATGGTATCATTTGTTTCCCCTGCTCATACCCACCAACCATATTGTTCATGCAGACTCAGTTATATTGGTAAACAATGTGAAAAGAAAATGACTACTGAATGTTTGTGTGAGGAAGACGAAATATGTATACCTGACAATGAAATAGATGGAAAATTTAGATGTGATAGACCTCGAGGTGTCGGAGACAGATGTTTAGCCGGGAATGAAACAGCTTGTTTACCACCAATATTTTCAAATCTTAATATAACTTGGATACAACTCATTGCAGTATCTACAGCATTAATTTTCATAATCATGGTTATATGTATTTTAATTATATGCAGGTTAGTTCAATATTATTAAAATATTTAAATTAGTCTATGTTAACTAATAAAAAATATTAATTTTTACTATAAATATACTTGCAGAAAATGTCGTGTAAAACGTCAAAATGCACGTCGAAACAAAAATATAACTATGCTAAATTCGGAGTTCAAAAGAAGTACAAAAATTAGCAATTTAGAAGTAACACAAGTAAGTAATTTAATATGATACAAAATTTTCTGTTAAATTAGTGTAATTATATATAATTACAACTATTATTGTGTAATTTTTTTCTTAACAATGTTTAATTTTATCATTTTTATTTAATATACAATTTAATTGTAACAATATTTTAGCGACCTGCATCCTATACAGCAATTGCTAGCAACCCTGAAACTGCATATATGGCAGCCATAACATCTAATCAACTTAACAATTTAGATACTCTGAGAAGTTATGGCTCTGCTGGTGATGAGTTAGAAAATGTACCTTTAGATTACTTGCGTAATCTCAATAGAGGTAGCAATAATAAAATAATTAATGGTAAGTTTATTAGAACAATAAATTAGTTATATTATTTATCTGATTATTCTATTGGAACATTTTTTTTAGATCTCAAAACTATTCCAGATGTGACTAAAGTACCTCGTCGGTCAGTTAATTGTGCTGAAGAGGATACAAGAATACTTGGGGGTTATCATTGGGATTGTTCAGATTGGGTACGGCGAAGCCAAAACCCTTTACCTAATATTAGTGAAGTTCCTGGTAGTGAAGTACCAGATTCTTCAAGTTTTCATAGTGATAGTAATGATGAAGTCCATCAACCAATCATTGGTTTGTATATATATACTTTCAAATCATAGATAGTACTTAAGGGGCCACAAATTAATAATTTAAATAAATATCTAATTGATATTATATTCATGAAAACTAAAAAGGTTTAAAATTCAAGTTAAAAGGAATAGTAAAAAATTTTCTTATGTACAACCCCCACCATAAATAGTAGCCATTGAGGTTTACCTCCAACTAGTAGTTTAATGAAAAATCGAGATTATAATCAATTATAAAAAGTTTTTTTTAACAATCTTATCAAATAAACTAATTAAGATATTTTAAGACTTGGTGGTAAAGTTTTACAATCACAAATTCATGAGAATCATTGGTCACAAATGACATTGAATAATGTTTGTTGCACCTTGAAAACTAGTAATGAAACAGTGAACATCTTGTAACATTAAAACAAGTTATTGTTACGTTAATTCTTATAAACTCTTGCTACCACATTTAATATACGTCATCAAGTACCATTTCCACTTGAAAATATTGATTGTATAAACTCATTAGCCAATACCACATAAAATTTTGGNTATTGTATAAAATCATTAGCCAATACCACATAAAATTTTTAATTAAATGGTATAGAAGAATATTTTGAATATTTATCAATATTAATAGGGTTGAATTTCTTCATTATTAAAATTNGATTGTATAAACTCATTAGCCAATACCACATAAAATTTTGGTACAAAATTTTTAATTAAATGGTATAGAAGAATATTTTGAATATTTATCAATATTAATAGGGTTGAATTTCTTCATTATTAAAATTATTACGCATTTAAGATAAAATTTGGAGGAATTAATAACAATATTTTTTATACATAACCTCCCATAAAAAATCTCTTCCCACATAATTTTGTGAATTTTTTTTTAAATATTTACATTAATTCAGCCAAATTTTTTCTAGGTCTAAGTAATGCTAATTTTTTCCTATTTTTATCTATTTAAAATGAAATACTTATTTAAATAAATTCTAGATCCTGCTAGGGATTTAGAAACACTTGATGAAGAGCTCTATCTCTCATATCGCAGTGAAGATGATGATGTAGTTACTTATGGATTTCCTCAACGATATCCTAGTCAGAGTGAATTGTCAACTACTGTATGTGAAATTGAAGATCCTGATATGCCAATGTCAACAGCAGTCTAGCATACATTGTAAAAACATTCCGTTGGAAATATTAGGTTTTAATATTTAATTTTGAGCCATTATGTAACATTTATTAATAAATGTGTGTAACATTAAGACAAATTTTGGTTAAGTAGTTATTTTGAGAGGGGGGGTAGATTAAGACTGAATGATTTATTTTCATAAATGTAAAGTTTTATATGAATGCAAAAATTGTTATACTTCTGTGATAGTTAAACTTTTTTCACTAGTTTTCACTTATTTATTGTTTGTATAAATTGTCCCTTTTATAATTTGTTTATGTGTTCATTAATTGACTTTTTTCTATTTGTTAAGCTGAACAAATAAATGCATTTAATTATTCATTACTTATAATTAAATTATGATCTCTTACTATGGTAAAAAAAAAACACAGTTCTTTATTAAATTTAAAAAATACAGCTTATTACTAACTTTTTATATAATTATTATACTAATTAAACCAGTGCTAATAATTGTTTTTAAGGTGCTAATCTGTATTAATTGATTAATTTCTTGTAAGCTTTATGTTAAATATTTTACATAATCTAAAGTGTTTTGTATTAAGATTCACTTTTTTAAGTTATGAGATCAATGGACTTTGACTATAAAATTAGTTATAGTTTGTATAAAAATTAAGATATCATGTTTTCATTGTGTTATTTGACAAAATAAAATAATTTCAACTAATAAATTAAAAAATATATATATGAAATGTACCATTCCATTTGAATTATAACTTCACAGTTTCGATAAAGAAGACATAATATTTATTTAGTTTTTTCCATTTTTACATAGCATTAGACTTTCTATTTTGTAAATAATTTGTATTATAGAGCAATATACTGTTATAAATATATCCTATAATGTTAACCAAAAGTGCCCTTACAATTTTTTTTTTTTCTAAACGAATTACTGAATGTCTAGATTTATAAAAAAAAAACATTTTTACAATCATGAATAAATTGTATCTTAAAATGTTAGTATCTATAATACAGATAAATTTAGAGTATTTTTTGTTGAAAATTGATATAAAATAATACTTTAATCAAATAATTTCAGTAATTTATAATTTTAACTCGAGCAAATTGATGACACAAATTAAACAAATCACTAAATTATAACATTAAATCTCAATGTGAGTTATACATTTTTTCTTTTTGAATGTATTCATATTATTATAACTATTGTTACTGATTTATTTAGATTAAATGTTTTAGAATATATTTTTGTAAGAAATGTATATTATTTTTTAATAAATTAATATTTAACAATATAACATTTTAAAATTAATTAATCCTTACAGTATTTTTATTCCTTAATGAGTAGTTTTTATTATTACTAACCAAGTATACTTTTTCATTTAAAAATTCAACACATTATATTTATTTAAAAATAAAATAATAATGAAGTAAAAAAAATTGTCATAACATTTATTATAAATCAATCACTTTTACTGAATACTGTTTAAAAATAAATGACATATAGTATAATTATACATCAAAAATAATTAAAGTACATATTTCACAAAAATATTTCAAAGCCATAAATATATTAAGAACAAATGTTAATATTTACAGAGTTTTTACCTAAAATTGGTAACTTTGTAACCCAATCTGGATATGGAGGTTGCAATACACCAGATAACATCATATCTTTAATACCTTCAATTATATTTTCACTCTTTAGCTCAACTCGTGCTTTACATAATTTTCCAGTTGGATAGTTGATCCCAATCATTGATAAGTCACTTTCAACATTTATTGTAAATTGATTTAATACTCGATTTTTATCACCAAACAACTGACGAATATATTCTCGAACATCTTCATCACAGTAATTACTTTTTAGTGAAGAATTTATAGCATTGTTTTCCTTATTTTTATCCTCCAAAAAATTTACCATTGATTGTAAATGTTTTCCTGATAATGGGTAAGGTTTGTAACGTGTTGCTCCAACAGACTTCACCACAATTTTTAATAATGTGCTATCAATATTATGAGGCTTATAAAAAATGTGAGAAACTGTACCTGGCATGATTGTTAAAAATAATGGAGCACTAAGTTTAGGATTGGTTTTACTCTTCTTCATTTCATTTATATCTATCAAAACCCAAAATAATTGGTTACATTTCATAACATATGTTACACCTTTAATATTCAACTTGTCAAACATAGCTTGTATGTTATTTCTTATTCGTTCTTTATCTAAAAAACTATTTTTGACTTTATCTAAAGTTACAGTCCACCAAGAACCACTCTGATGATAAATAACATCACTAAGCATTATACGATGGTAGACTTCTGTAATAGATTGTTGATCCCTTAAATACTGAAAAATCACTGAGACTATATTTGCAACATTCAAACGCATACGACATTCGGCTACTAATTCCACAACATCTTTCCATTCTAGATCTAAATGCAAGATTTTTAATAGTTGTTGAATTTCATTCATGTTGAATCTTTTCATTTTGACAGCTATTTTATTTAACATGAGCTTGTCAATAGTAGTCATATTTAGTTCTTTTTAAATACCTAAAAAATTTAATTATGTTATAATATTATAAGAAATTAAAAATAATAAGCATTGCATTAAATTATCTTTTTTATTTTTACAATAAATATAATTAGTACAATTTTATTTTGCAGTTAAAATAATTTTCTGATAGTTTGTTTGCATTTGTATGAAGTGCACATATGATGATAAAGTTCATCTAAAATTTAATTAATTTTTTAATCAGTGGTATAGTTAGTGAAAAACTAAGGAATGTAGCGTTAATACTATGTTACCAACCTCCATCCCTGTGATAACAACATTTAGAAAAAGTATGTTATCTTTACTTTACACATGCGTTGTTCTTGTTACTTCTTTGACTCTTAAATAAAAGCAAATATATTTAATAAATATTTTGTGTGGTGTTCTTTAATTTTAATAAAAATAATTAATATAAAGAGCCACAAAAACTAGACCCTCTTATGTAAGGCAATCTTTTTTTTTTTCTAATACAATAAGTCTTCAATCATAATTATAATTTTTTAAAAACTTTATTCTATTACAAGTTAAACTTAAAAAAATAATAATAATGCCTTCTTTTGCTAAATAAATGGCTTAAATTATTACTTGTGTAAATATATATTAATTAAAAAATATAATTATTGGCATTTCATTGAGGTCGTAAAATTATTAAAAACTAGATTAACAGTTAAATAATGAATTATTATAGTATAATTACTCATTATACTTAAATTTAAAAACTTATTAGATAATACTAGAGCATATTTTAACCGAAATTGAAAAAAAAACTGAAAAATTGAATACTCTTATGACATAATTATTAATAATCTAAAGTACATCTAGCAAAATCAAAAATATTAACTTGGTACACTGATAAATATATAATTATCAAAATTTTTTATCAACGACAAATGTTTTAAAAATTGGTAAAATTAATAATTTTTACTAAAATTAATTTACTAAAACATAATTAAATAAATTAAAAAAATTGAATAATATACATAGAAATATTATTATACACACAAAAATAACATTCAATATATTACAAACATTCAATGCAATATTGAAGAAAGCAAGCATTCGAGTATAATTTATTTATAAGGTTAAACATTTTACATCATGATAAAAATACTTTAGTTAATATTACTTAATTCTTCAATTTTTTGAGTTTTCATAAATTCTTTAGAAACATGTCCCAGTGTTGGATGATAACTTAACTCTCCAGGAGAAAAAACTTTAACTTGTGCTGTTTTTCCAGTTTTATCAGATTTTTTTCTAAATACAAAGTTTTCTAACCACATGTAAAGTTTTTGAACTACTGAAGCTAATCCAGGAACATATTTAGCAGTAGTTAATTTGAGTCTTTTTGTAGTAATGTTATGAATAGGCCCAAAAGCTAAAGCTACAACAGTACACGCTAAACAAATTACATTGTATGGCATACTAAAATCAGGTGTTGGCAGTGTTATAATAAAATTTTCAGTTTTTAAACTTATTATATAGTCTGAATTTGTTGAATTCAAATTATCAACTATTAAAGATTTGTCAAAAGTTAAAGGAGTAACATGTCGAGGAATAGTAGCTATTATTGTGGATGATCCTATGTAAAACCCATGGTTAGCATCAGGTGGATACTCTTGCCACTTTAAAAATACATAATCAAATTGAACAGATATTTCTGTGACTGATTGTGCAGCTAATTCCAACGCTATCTCCAAATAATAAATACGAGTTCTCCCTTTACCAGGTTTGTATTTTAAGGCTTTTGGAACTAAATCAAAACCATTACAAGTTACTTTAAGGGTATGATAGTAAATTGGTAAGAACCATGGAATGTTTTCAATTATTGTAACAGTGACAGGCGATACATGTTCATTATAAATTCGAGTGACAAGTCCACCATATTCTTGTCCAAATCCTGTAATAAATCTATCAGTGTATAGAATAGGACGGAGTTCTGAAACAACAAATTTAGGTTTTGGGACAGAAGCTGCTAAGTGAAAAATTCCTTTAAGATTATAAACAGCTATTTTTTCATTTAAGAAATAATCAGGCTCTTGAGAAATTGTATATGGAACAGTTAGGTTAGATGAAGTATCTAAATATAATTTACTAGTTTCTGCCAGGGGACAAGTTTTGAATAAGCCCGTACCAAACATTCTGCGCAAAGACCAATCATAATTATTGTTAAAACTAATAAAACTGGAGTCATAAACCAATGATACTGTTTGGCGAAGCTCATAAACACATTTGATACCATTACATAACGGTCGAAAATGAATACCTAATGAATGATAATTGGCATTATGAACTTTTCCAGAATTCAATAAGCTTGATAATCCTCTTGTAGAATCACAAGGTAAAAGTTTTTTCCAAGGTGTTAAATTTTCTGTACATACATTTTCTCGTGGTAAATTAGAATAACGATACAATGTATCTTCAGATGACTCATAACTATTGGCTCTATTAATGAAGTTCAATGATGTACATAATAATCCAGATAGAGCATTAGTCAATCCATACCAATTTTTGTTTACATCAGCTGTACCAACATGAAAACGTGCTGATATTTCAGCACCTGAAGGAGCATCTATAGCAGGATAACCCCAAGCTTTATGTCTCCATAAACCTGATGTTAAATCAATGTTCAACTCATTAACATTAAAGCGATTAATAATATCACCTAATGAGTGAGGAAATAAATTAGAATGTTTAAACTGATTGTTTTCTTGTACCACAGTGAATTGAAAAAATGTGTACACATAACCAGTTGCCAAAGGTCTGATAAATAATTCTTCATTATACGATTCAGCAGAAACAAAAAAATTACAACTTAATCCATATGAAAACAAAACAACAATATGAATACTACTAACTCTCATATTAAATCATTAAAATTCGAAATAAATTGTAGTATAAACAAAGAATTAACATCTAATAAATATTAATAATTTCAATGTAAGCATTTTAATAAGTGTAAAACATACAGTTATCAACAAATAGGAATAGCCGGCTACAGTGTTATGTTTACGTTTTATTAGTCAATAATGATAATGGCGGTTAAACAATAAATTACCAATTAAGTAACTCACAGCTTAAATGTGTCAACAAAAATTATTCAGAAAGCTGGAAGTAGTTTTTGATGTTATAAAATAAATAAAAACACTAAAATTATTTAAAACTTTAAAATTACAAGAATTAAAATACAAATTCATTCAAAACATAGAACTAAAAAAATTAAACAATTTTGAGATATAAGTTCTTACATAGTACGCTAACAGTGTTATCAACATTTCAATATGGCCACGATTTACCTCCATTTTAGCTTCAATGCGAAGCTGAGAAGTATTAATTTTACTATGTGTTATTTTTTTTTTTTTGTCTGTCAGCACTTTTTTTTAACTCTCACTAAACCAATTTCTTTCAACGATTAGTCACAAGATCACAAATTATATCCAATTAAGGATATTACCCTCAAAAATTGAAATAAATACTCTCGTTCCTTGTAAATGGAGGATTACTTAAAAATATTACAATTTTAAAAATTAGTATTTTTGATATTGTTTTAACTTAAGTTTTTTAAAAATCAACAACATTTTTTTCATAAATACTTTAGCTAATCTACTATTTTATATTTTATAATAATTTGATAATTTCCACAAAAAATTAACCATTTCAACTTAACTTATGAAAATGTTCCAGAAATACTGACATTTATATATATACCTTAAATTATAGTTTATATTATTTATTTTATTTTGAAAAAAAAATTGACCTCTGGACTTGTCTTTGTGGTGAAAACATCAAAATTAAAGAAAAATTTATGATAATTTATATAATCGATTTATATTTAAAAATTTATATTACTATAACTTTTTGAAAAATGTATGGATCAACACAATTTTATTTTTAAAATACTTTTTATATACCCCTTTCATCCGACATACTTTATTTTTGAATCGGACTATTTCCCTTAATTCAGAGTGGGTCAAAATTTTAAACACGCGTATAAAAAGTAGAACTTTTTAAACTTAATTTTGAAAAATATTCCAGAAATACTGACACTTTTATATTAGCCTTAAATTTAAGATTATTCAATATACTATATATTGAAAAAAAAATTGACCTCTGGGCTAGTCTACATGGTGAAAACGGACATCAGAGATAACGAATATAAATTTAAACTTATGTGAACATTTTGCCTTTTATGTAAAGAGAGCGACTTTAAATTTAGAACTAATTAAAATTGTCCTTTTTATTTATCAACATGAGTTGTGTATCGTTTTCGAATCGGTTTCACTTGAGACCTTAATGCTCGAGGTACAATGTTCCAAAACCCATCCGAAAAGTTAGTTTTTTTGCATTTTTTTTCTCATTCATTTTGAATGTGGGAATAAAACTTAAAGTTTGGTTGATTTTTATCTCATTTGGATTTAATAACTTCAATGATTATCAAGGACCCTATCACGGTAGTCAATCCTTGTAAGAAAGAATTTCTTATTCATATTAAATTATTTAATATATGGTTTTTTTTGTGTCTATCATTCATTTTTCTCAGCTCTCACTTAAACAATCTTTTTAACGATATATCAAATGATCACATTTACCCACTAAACATTTGATGTTTCCAACATCTCTGGAATGTATATTTCTTGTTACTTTTGAAACATCACTGAATAATTCAATCCCAGTATATTTAAAACTAATCGCCTCATAGATATCAATTGTTTTATTACTTTCTTATTATTATATAATTAATTCAATTAGTTAGTTTATATTAGATTTTTAATTAAAATTTTTCTGTAGTACATACTTAGTATAAGTATGGATGCTATAACTTTTTAAGGTAAAACTGTACAATATAGAAAGATTTTATAAATTTGGTTAATGAATTATTTGATAGTATTTAGGCTATGGTGTGGTAAAAATAAGCTTCTAAGATTTTCTGTGACTTATGTAAATGGATTTAAAATCTAAAATTTGAATGAGAACTATTTTAATATCTAATCTAACACTATATACACCCAAAGAAAAACCTCAATCAAAATTGAAAGAGAAATTTTATCAAGGGTTTATGATAATGTTTTATTAATACGAACAAAATAACTATTCTTATAAATAATTATTGTTCAAGACAAGAAAAAAAAATATCATATTGATAAATATATCATTGATTCAATAGTAATGATATATTTATCAAATTGAACAATGAATTTATTATATAGATCGAGGGTTTTCTCTGGGTGTATTTTTCCTCAACTATGGATAAAGATGATGAAAACGATTATAAATAAAGTCTCAGGGTGGTACCTTGAGATGGGACCCTTATGGAAAGTATCGTTACTATAAAAAATGATGGGTAAATAAAAACTTTCTCATTAATCATGACTAGACTAGAAAAATTGAAGATATGCCTTTTAAGCTCGTGAGTTCTGGGATGTTTACACCCCTTGCCCCGGGCTTCATTGTAAATTTCTGTAACTAAAACTATAACAAAAGAAATATGTCTCTTATTAAGTATTATTATTTTTAAGTAGTAATTTTAGAATATTTAACAGAATAATTTGAAAAAATTTTCTTAGTAGACTAATATTTATAAATTTGATGTTCAAACATTACATCAAAACACGCTATATATGAATTTCTAACCACAATTAAAATTAACGAGTGTTTGTACTTGAAAATAATAAAGTGTACTTAAGAGGCTTTTATACTATTAAGGAAGCGTTGCTATGTTTGATTTATTTCGAAAACTACTGAATTTGTTAATTTTTTCCATTTTTCATCTTACCTCTTAAAAAAATACTATAAAGGTTTAAAATCCTATTTAATTAACTTAAATTGATGCTTGGGTTTTTTTTTTACATAATCTTATTATTTTTTGCAGAATCACTAGCGATATAATTTACAATTTCACCATTTAAGATTTTAAAAAATATTGTTTTCCATAATAATAGTTTTAGCCGTAGACTTTTAGTATAACTTATTATGTTGATAATTAACTATATGAAAAATCATAGGAATTTTAAATTAGAGGTTTTTATTTTAGTTTAATTTATATTATTCTATACTGAATATGATAATAATGATATAATAATTCAGTCTTGATGAAACAAGTTCATTTAAAAGCTCTTTTATTGTAATATTTGGATATAGATATTGTGTACTTTACCTAATTATCTCAACAACCTTGATTTTATTATCTCATTATTATTTTTTAACTAGAGTTTGATTTTAATCACTAACCGAGATAATTATCTTAATTCGTGATTTTAATCATCACATTAACATCTGTTAATGTGAGGTTATGTTTTTTGGAGGTATTGAAATTGTTTTTATTTCCCTGAAAAATCGATAAGGTAACTTCTACTCCTGAAAAAACAAGCGACGCGAGTTTTATATGATAATCAATTTGAACTATTTAAAAGTTATTAGCTAAGAAACATTGAATTGAATAATATAAGACACTTGTTTAATCTGCAGATAAGTGTTTTAAACACGTTTTGTTTTAAAATAAATAAATTATCTACGTTTCCCCCTCTTGTGAGTATACGGTCATAGAATTCCACTGAGCTCAGGTAAAATAGTAGTGGCTTTAAAACTTATAATACTGTTGAATTCATTCGTCTGGTGGTTTTCTTCTTAAATACAGTAGTGCTGTGATTGTCAGCTAACTTTTGTTAAATTCAAATCAGTATTAATTTAGTCAATAATTCATTTTATATAAGGTACTATGGCTGAAGATGAATTCTTTGAAGGAGCTGAAAAGTTATTAGAAATTTGGTTTGGTCGTCAAGACGGTCAAGTAGAAAATGGTGACTTAAGAAAAATACCAAGGTAACATTTTTTTTCTTTTATTGTTGAAAATTAATTGTGCAATAAAATTCATTGTTTATTTACAAACTACAATATGCTTTGATAACATAATAGTTGCCTAAGATAAGTAATTGTTATTTTTTTCATAAATATTTATGTGAATGTTTATTAGGCACTAGTTATTTGAAATCTCAGTTACTCATAAATTAGATATTTTTAAAATAGTTTTATTTATCTTTAAATAATAGCACCATTCATTTTTAAGAAGTCCTAAAAATCTATACATTTTATGTTAATGGTTTAGTTTCAGAATTAATGTAAGCATGTTCAAAGAAATAACTTATTGTATAAATTTAATAATTGGTTTTGAATTGAATAAAAACAACTAAGCATATTTAAATTTTTGTAAAACTATACTTAGAGCAAAAATTGCTCTAACATCTTAATAATTCTGTGACAGAATGATGAAATATATATCAAAGACCCAGGCGGGAAAGCTTTTAGGTCACTCATTTATGAATTTTTAATTACTGTTTTTTTCTTATTAGATCAAGAAAACAAGCCAAATCTATATATCATAATAATTTTCTTTAATTAAAAATAATATACGAAGTTATTATAAGTAAAGTTATCCTTTTCTTTGTAGCAATTCTATAGAGTCCAGGCAGTGATCATCATTTGCTCATCTTACCAGTGTATGCATGCTTTAGATGTTATTATTTAATAATATTTAAAGTATATTTTAAATAAGGGTGGCCAAGTTAAATTACTGAACTACATTATTTAAAAATAATATTCTAAAAATTACTTTACTATAATTATTGCATTAAATAATAAAATATATTTTATTAAAAACTATATTTTTATTACTTATAAAGTGTTTATTTTAAGTGTTTTTTTTAATTTTGTATTCATATTTAAGAGTACTGGTTTTAACTATATAAGTAGAATTCTAAAAATTTGTTTCTGTGATGATTATATTCTTCTAACTCTTACACAATATTAAAATATAAATTTCATTAAATATAACTAAATTCTAAAACTTTTGTTTTACCTTATTTATTTTTTTGGTTTTATTAAAAAAATGTATAATTATTTACTACAATCAATGACTAAAAACTAAATGACATGAAAAAACTTAGTTAATATATTTATGACAAGAATGATCAATTTTGTATTAGTAGCTTTTTAGAAAAGAATGATGGTTTATTTTTATGATACTTCAATCTTAGTAGAGTAAATATGCAAACTATTTTGTGTACAAGATATGATCCTTAATTGATAGTTGAAAATTAATTTTTCAATTATACAGTTTTGGGAAAATATATTATGTGAGTGATAATGTTTAAAATAAAAAAAAATTATACCACTGTTTATCCCAATGTACCACTGAGTAAAATTGAGTTTTAAGTTACCTATTTCCCTAATAGCAAAATAATATTTTTTCAGTTGATAATCAAAAAAAATTCTATTTTATAATGAAATAAAACTTATTGTGAAGTCTACTATGAATTTGGTTAAATAAAGGGATAATTATTAAGTTTAGTCAGTGTTGTATGTATATTGAAAAGTAATGTTCATTTAACAAAAGCAAAGATGATTAAATCTTAAGTATTAAAAAAACTATTTATAAAAATATCTAAAAAATTCCAGAATTTATACAAAATGAGTTATGATATTTATATTTGTTTTGTTTCTAAATTCTGATGTTTATGTAGAAAAAAAAATATTATTATTTTATTTTAGTTCGAAATTTGGTATAAGTCCAATGACTGTTGATGCCAATTCATGAAAATTAAAATGACTATTCTTTGTGTAAAGGTTAGAAGTTTTAATTTATGAGTTTTCAGTTGTAACAACTAATACAGTCATTAAATATATTATATCTGATGATAAATTACAATAGCTTCTAACAATTATCTTTTTTTTTTTTTTTAATTTTTTATCTATTTCTAGTATATGATAAATTAATGCTAAAGTACTTTAATGCCTGTTATGAACTTTAAATGATAAGCCTATTTTAGACATATTTGTAGACATTAGTACTTAAAGACTGTGTAGGATATAATCTAAATAATTTATGTTAAAAAAAATTTTAAGTAGATGTTATCAATACAAAAGTAAATATTAGTTTTAAATGATTTCAGGTAGGTTTTAATTTTTAATATAATTACATAGTATTAACCAGTGGAAAAGATATAAAAAAATTGTGATTATTTGAGATGTTCATAAATTTTTATTAATTATAAGGTAATCCTTATTAGGGATTTTTTTTATAACTTTATTGATGAAAAAACTTTTATTCAAAATTCTGGACATATTGAATTGTTAATTAATTTAAAATACAATGTACAATTAAAGTCTACAATGTGAAATTATTTTATAATAATAAATTAAAAATTTATTTCAGTTTTTAGTACATATATTAGAAAATCAACAAGTTTTGTTTAATTTTATTTATTTATGTATATAAAATGATTAATTTATAATTGAATGATGAATTTTTCCAAAAATAATTATAATTTAGAGAATATCTATTTTGTGGGAGAGAGAAGCGGATTGTGTTTTTTTTATCATTAGATATTTCTTTACCATACTTTTACTACCCAGGTGTAAAAATATTCATAACTCCTGAACTACTTTAGTAGGTGTGGGTAATAAGACCTAGCTATACTTTGTACTAAATCTAATATAAGCTAGGTCTTATACAAACTTAGCTACGCCTAAAATAAGCTAAGCTAAGGCTAATATATGCTAGGCTTTATTACCCGCAACTACCATAGTTCAAAATTTGTAAGTAACCAGTTATTTTCATAATGAGATCATTTTCTAACATTTAAGATAGTTTAAAATATTAATATATGAATGCATGTTGATATTTTAAAGTTTATACCCTTATAAGAAATGGACTTAAAAAATATTTAACAGTGTAAAAATCAACAAATAATTATTATTTAACAAATCCAAAAAAACATTTTAATAATATTATTACTTAAAAAGAAATTGAGTAGTCAATAATAAATCAATTACTCTGTATATAAAAACATCAAGTAATGGCAAGAAGACAGTACATTAATACAATTGATATTTTTGTATGTTTTTTGTATTTTTATTTAATGTGTTTAATTGTATTTTATTAGCTAATTTTATATACTATATTTATACATAGTTGAGTAAAATATCAAAGGTTTTTTTAAAAAACAGTTTTATCATATTTATTCATTACAGTATAAAATTTAATTCCTTTATTACCCACTTTATTATATCACAGTTTTTACATTCCTCCATCTTTGTTAATAATAATTAATTACATAAACCATTATAAGTTTATAGTAGTATATGTAATTAATACCGACTATTAAGTTTTCTATATAGTTTAAATTTTAATTATATTTATGGTTTCATTAAACTGTTATCAAATTCAATTTCACTTTACAATAAAACATGTCTAAAGACAGATTTTTTAATTTTTTTGAAGAGAGGATCTGAAAAATATGTATTTGAAAAACATTAATAAAAATGAATATTTTACTATGAATATTATTCATATAGTATGCGTATAAACCCCTGGACCCACTCGTAAATTCACTATTGAAATAGTAATATGACAGAGTAAGCGTTTGTCTGATTTACATTGGCAAAAATGTTAAAAAAAAAATTAGAGTGTACCAAATGTAATTTTGTGCCTTTTTAAATGTTTAATGTATATACGTTTTTAGAAGACTATAGGTATAATTTTTCAACATTTTAAGTAATACTTTTGTCATTTTGAAGGAATTCTCGTAATCCAAAATAGCCCAAAATTTGTTCCTATGGGAGTTATCCTCTTAAAAAATTAAACCAGTTTTTTATGTTTCCCATTTATTTAATGTAAATTTATATAATTACATCTAAAAATTTTATATTATACAATGTTTTTTTTTTAAATTTCCATTTTTATAAATATGTAATTTGTAATTTTTATGGTTTAATCTTGTAGGTAAAATTATGGTCTGTGGATGAGTTTATCCAATATAGTTAATATATTTTTTAATTTACCAAACTTTTCAATTTTCTAATGTTAAATTCAAGTATTATTTTATTTTGCGTTGAAAAAAATTAGAGAGCTTAAAACTAATTTCTAAAAAGAGAAATTATATCTATTATAATCGTATCTTGACCGCGCTGATTATCATATAAAAATTTGCCAACCCCAAATATTTTTATGAATTATACACTATGAAATACGGATTTTAAATGATAAAAAATAAATCTTTGATATAAAAGTTAATTTTTGTCTAAAGTTAGATGTCTTTGTATTAGTAAAATATATTTCACTTATCATAATAGATAAGTCCATTTTTATACATAAATTTTTAAGTGTTAATTATCTTAATTGAAAATGTTTTGCAAAGTACTTGTGATTTCCTTAGAGTATTTATATTGGTAGTACAAGATGATCCTATTATAAATTTGTGAGTACATACTTTATTATACTTTTGTCATTAGAGCTGGTACTTAATGTAATCGGTGAAGTATTTTTTTTATAAAAAAAAATAAATGAGACATAATAAATTAAGATAATTTATATGAAATATTAACATTAAATTAATGGTGAAGTCTGAAATGTTTTAAACGAAATATTATGTTAGTTTTATAATTATTAATTTATTACGTACAATACTTTTTAACGTCTGTTTGAAAATACAACGTCGATATTTTTAAATTCATCATATTTATCATAGAAAGTATTTATTATTTAGGTAATTGTCGTGACAAGTGTCTTTAATCATATTCCATCAATATACAATAACTTGAACATTGTCCCACATATGTCACTATTTATAAGGAGACAAAATTTTTATCTGACGCTATTCAATATAGTTTATTAAATCACCCATGTTAATTTTTATTATGCCTATTAATAATTATACAAATTATTAATCAACATATATAATCATACAATGAAATTCATTACGCTAATGAAATAATATTTTCTCGATTTCTACTAAATTTTACTAATGTAACATATTTCTTTACTTTTAAAAATTATAAAAAAATAATAAAATTTATTTATTTATTTTTTTATTTATTTCATCAAAGATGATGATGATTACGCCCATTTATTATTTTATTTTTGATTGAGTTCCTTTCATTTAATTTCAAGGTCTGATTTATTTAAATACTTAACGAATAGTTGAACAGTTGGTTCGGCACAATAATCAGTTATCTACATATTTTAAGAAAAATAACTGAAAAAACTAAATAATTTTCGTATTTTGCATTGTTAGTTGGGTTATCAATTTTTATGTTATAATATTTTTTATTGTAAAGTGCGTGGTGTGGCCTAGTTAATCATTCAGTTGTCGTATTTACGCCGTTGTTTATCTTCGCTGTTTGCTATTAGTTCCCGGATGAACGACTAAACGGGAATTTTAACAAAGACGCACACCTTGTCCCCTTACTGGTTCCTTCAGCTATGAGGTTGCGTCAGCCAGTATAAAAATCTTGTCAAGTTAATAAGGTCGATCCGACCTCAAATAGTTTAGATAGAGGCTAAGGAGATAATGATGAATATTGTTTAATGCAAAGTATAGGTAGATTTTTTGCTAACATTTTTGGAAAGAGCTAGAATAATCTAATAAAAGAAAATGACAGGGGGTTAACTTATGATAACAAAACAATTTTTTTTTTAATTTGGCAGGTTAAGCCTTTCAAACTCTCCCTCCCTGAAGTCGCCTATAAAAAACTGGTTTGCACTTAAGTCGCACTTAACTATTGGACAAATTAATTTTTATTAAGAAATATTAAAACAAACATTACAAAATAGTAGGGATAACTACTAAAACCTTAAATTTAATCACTTTTTAAAAGTAATTCGTAAAAAGTAATGTGATCTATAATTTGTTTAATAATTTATTTTAAAAATCCTATTATTTTTGATATACCGAATGTATTAAAAGTATTAAATTTTTCTTCAAGTATTTAATAAAACTTATTCATAGACACAATTTAAAAACAATATTTATGAGATCTTACTTAATTTCTCCTGTCCTTAAAAATATTTCTATATTTCTTAAATAAATTTACATATAATTTTAGAGTGGCTGTAAAAGAATTGGAGGGGCTAAGTACTTTTAGACCCTCGCCCAAGATTTCACTAATGACTTTTACTTCGATGTGTACATTTCACTAATATGAATTGTATATATTCTTTTTTTTTTTAGAGAAAAGTTTAAAGATCTTTTAAAACATGCCAGTTGCGAGGTTATCAGTTTTTCTAGCAATGACGAAATCGACGCATATGTTTTGAGGTAAAAAAAAAAAATTTTAATTAATTAAAAGATTTTGCAAATTTTTTGTGTAAAAATAACTAGAAATAGAAACATAATACGCTGAGTTTTAATAGTGCTTCAAAATATTTATAAATTTTGTTAAGTTATTCCAAACACATCATCAACCAATACAAATTTCTATTAATAGGCTTGAAATTTTTGTAATGTAATATAACTGGGGTTATTTCGTTGGAGAGAATTAGGGGGGTTTATTTCCTACTAAAATGAAAAATATTTTTAAACTACTGTATACAGGGTGGCCCACCACTCACTGACAACTTAAATAACTTTTGATTCAGTTAATATTTTTAGCTGATTTTTTTTTTAAATAATAGTTATACGTTAGGTCTATAGCTATATCTCAATAATTAATTTTTTTACATTTTATTAAAAATATTAATTATTTTTAAATTTTAAATAAAATGTAAAAAAAAAATCTAAGATAGCTATTTTGTAGAGTAGAATTTAAGAAAAATTTTAGTAAAAAAATATCTTATTAATATTCAATAGTAAATATTCTGTAGCGTTTTGAAGTTTGTGAAAATTTGAATTTTCATGTACTATTTTACGGTTATAAACATTGAAATACGTATTGAGAAAAGGACAGAAGAAAACGCTATCTTTTCATGATTACTGTGTATACATATGATGATAGTGTGTATACATTACAAACTTGGCATAAATACCATGATAAGAAATTAGATAAGGCAATTATTACTTATCACTCTCATTCAAAAGTATCTTGAAAAGATAGCGTTTTCTTCTGTCCTTTTCTCAATACGTATTTCAATGTTTAATACCGTAAAATAGTACATGAAAATTCAAATTTTCACAAACTTCAAAACGCTACAGAATATTTACTATTGAATATTAATAAGATATTTTTTTACTAAAATTTTTCTTAAATTCTACTCTACAAAATAGCTATCTTAGATTTTTTTTTTACATTTTATTTAAAATTTAAAAATAATTAATATTTTTAATAAAATGTAAAAAAATTAATTATTGAGATATAGCTATAGACCTAACGTATAACTATTATTTAAAAAAAAAATCAGCTAAAAATATTAACTGAATCAAAAGTTATTTAAGTTGTCAGTGAGTGGGCCACCCTGTATTTTTACAACAATTTTACACAAATTTCAGGCAGTTGTTGTATTACTGATTGAGCTAAACAAATAATTCTAAAACAAATTATACATAAATTTATAAAAATTGTTTTATATTTTAGTGAAAGTAGCATGTTTGTAACAAAACGTCAGTTTATTTTAAAAACTTGTGGCACTACTACTCCTATAGAATGCATTAAACCTTTGTTGTTATACGTTCATGAGTATACTGGATTTGATGAAGTAGATGATGTGTTTTATTCACGCAAAAATTTTGATAGACCCGAATTACAAAAAAACACATATCAAAGTTTTAAATTGGAGATACAAGCATTAGATATTATATTTAAAGGCAGTATGTAATTTTTTCAATTTTGTAAAATTTTAGAAAATAGTTTGTTTATTTATAATTATTTCCATAGCTGGTGTAGCTAGATGTATGCATTCTTCAAAAAGTGGTGACTCATGGTTTTTATATGCATTACATCCTGTGAAATGTTTCACTAAAGAAAAACAACAATCTGATCAGACTTTGGAAATACTTATGACACAACTCAATCCTGATGTTATGCAAATATTTACCAAAGAACAATCTGCTAATGCTACTCAAGCAACTCAGGTAATAATAAAATTAAAACTTTACTATTTTTCTAATGTTTATGGTATTGTGAAATGCTATTTATTATTTATTTTAGAATTCAGGTATCGCAAAATTATTGCCTAATATGAAGATAGATGATTTTCTATTTGATCCATGTGGTTATTCCATGAATGGAATTGCTAAAGAGGTATATATATTTCTTTAATTTGTACATTTAAGGATCTTTTTATGTAAAATTTTATTTTAAACTTTTTATTAATTTTGTACTAGTATTTTAATTTGTATTATGTAACTTATAAGAGATCCACACAGTCTTGGGTATAAGGCTCTATCATTCTATCTATTCTATAGATCATTCTAATCTAAGATTTTTTTAATAAATAACTAGTTCAGTAATTGAAGTCCCATTCTAGTGCTGAAATAATTACTCATCCACGAGTACAAACAGCTTAAAAGCCTTTCCTTAAGAGGAAGTTGCTATTTCTCTTAATGGGCATTAATTGAAAAAAAAAGAACTTATAAGTCATGTCTATTTAGTTTTATATTTTTAGGGTCATTATATGACTATTCATATAACACCACAACAAGAGTTTTCATATGTAAGTTTTGAGACTAATGTTCCTCAAAGTTCGTATAAAGAATTGATTTCCAAAGTACTAAAAACATTCCAACCAAAAAAATTTATTGTTACTATGTTTACAAATCAAGTAAGTAGATTCTTAAATTATTGTGCAATTCATTTGACTAAAAAATAAATATCTTTACAGAAATCGCCTAGTAAATCCAATCATAAGGAATTGAAAAATTTAACAGAGCTAGGAGAATGGCGTCAAGATACAAATAAAACATGCTCATTGAAGAATCATGACCTATCTGTATCATTTTACTCCAAATATCCCAGCTGAGATCAACCAGTATGGGACAAGCTTCGTTTCAATTATCAAATACCAAGAATTCCAGATTACACAACCGTCCTAGTTTCTCTAGTCTGCATAAAATTATTAGCTGTCACAGAACCACTTTATTATTTTACATGGCGTCGCTTTAAAATTGTTTAAAAGTATTTGCATTTTTGTTATCAATCACATTATTCTGTTAAAATGTTATAAAATTTTGTTAATTTGTAAAACATTAAGACTTATATACAATGTTTGTTCCTGAAATGGATACAAGTAATTTGCTTGTTAATTGTGATTATTATATGGTGGGTATTTTGATTCGAGGCATGTACTGAAACTGATGCGTCTCTATATTTTCCTTCTTTTTTTTATTAGATTTTCGTTTTTGTTGTTTGAAACTACACGTTCTGTTTGACTGTTCAGATTTTCTATTTTAAGTTTATGACCATGTTTAGATTATGCATTTTATTAATTATTTATTTTAAAAGTTATTAAAATAATTAAAAAGTTAAAATAAAATTTTTCCATTTTTCTGTTTTTTATTCCTGAAAACTTTAGGGGCTGAAAATATTTATTATAAAAATAAAGTATTATTATTCTATTTAAAAATGATTCTATTTATTTCTTTTACTAAATACTTTTAGTGATGTTATATTTATTTTTAAATTTGTTTAGATATAAAATTGTTAAGCTCAGCTCTATGGTTACTTAAGAGAAAAGAGAATGTTATATATAGTGATTAAATAATAATTATTATTTCATTGAGTATAATAAATTATAAGTAAAAAATTAGTTTTTTAACAATTAAAAAGAATATTGAATTATACACGTTGTATTTACTTGGCCAAATTAATCCATTCAACCATCCCTTAAAAATATGAGTGAACTATTTTTTGATAGTCTGATCATTCAAATATTATTTTAAACCTTAAAAATCTCTCTTATCCAAAGTTTTTATTTCACTAACACTGTGAAATAAATATTAATTTGTCAAATTTAAATATTGATAAGTTAATATATTAATATAAGGGAAATAAATTAATACACAAAAATTAATAGAATTTAATTACTGCTTTTATTTATACAATAAATGTTCTATAATATTGACAAATAAAGACTATTTTACCAATGTATGTATTAATGTTAATAGACTTGGCTCGTAAAATTAGCCTACTCAATGTTCAAATATTGTAAAAGGAAACATGGGTTTTAATATTTAGTTTAATTTATAGTTAAAGAAAAGTGAACAATTTACATAATATGTAAATATAATATTTTTGTTAATTACAAAGAACCAAAATCAATAGGTTCGATTGCTCACACTGTAATAAAGTTTTACCATATTATAATTTATTGTATGCCTGTGTGTATTATGTGATATCTTTAGAGAGATAACACATTCACTTCTATATTGTTTTACTTGGAGTATAGTCCGTCGTATGTAATCTTACTTTATGATTTATTTAAGTGCAATTTTAAAGTTAATGTTTACGATCTAGTATTGTTATTTTAAATAAAAATTAACAATATTATTACTTATTTATGGGAAATTTTCCATAGAAATGTGACATTAAAAAGTATTTTTAAAAAAATGACGTGGAAATGGATGTCAATCCGTCAAACAACAAATTGTCGGTCGAAAAGTCTAAAAGACAATTGGTTATTCAACGATTGGATTCTATAAAAAATCTTTTTGGATGTGATTTGCATATAACTGAAGAAAGTACTGATAATTGTACATTCATTGTCAGTAGATTAGACAAATACAGAGTATTAGATGATGACTTGATTAGAAGATTAAAAGTAAGTTTAAAATATATGAATCCACTTATATTAGTGTTTTTACAGAGATGAGTTCATAATGTACTTTTTAATTTAGGTAAAAATTTTATTATTAGGTATAAGCCAAAAACCTACACATAAGCCTCGCATTATTTATTTATAACTATATATTTTTATCTTAAGTTGATTTAAAAAAATCCTCAAGTCAATATTGAACTGACATATATTTTTTGATTTCCAGATTTTATTACTTTTAAATTAGTTTAATTATGACACCAGTTTAACTTTTTATTTTACTTTAATCTAGTAAATTAATAATTTAAGAATAACAGTTTATTTTAATAATTCATATGAACAATTAACAATGTCAAACTATGATTCTTGAGTCAATATAAAAAGTTATTATGTAAACTACGGTCCCTAGAAAATACAATTAAGTTAAATCCTGTTACACATAAAAAGACAATAGACCAGTCTTCCATTCACACAAAAAGAAATAATATGGTACAACATATATACACTAAATTGTGAAAGGTGCTCATGAACATCCTGTTTATATGTATGAATGTAAACATGTGCAAGTGTGTGATTTACTTTCCCTTTCAATAACAGTTTAAATCAATCTCCACAAACTTTGAGTTATTATTAATTAAATAGATAATTTATTAATTACTCATTCATATGAAATTTTAATTATAATAAAATATAACCATATTAATTCTTAGTTACATTTAAAAGTATTAAATGTAACATTTTATTTATTATGTACATAAAAAAAAAATTGAATATAAATAAATTAATAATTGATAAATAAACCATATAAATTTGAAAAAAAAATATATGTATTTATATAAAAATACAAAATATATCTTTTTTTTTATAAATCAATACTATTCTATAATTAAAAAAAAAAAAAATTGATCATATTTCCTTTCACTCCCCTTTAAAATAGTATCAAATTGAGTTTTTTTAATGGAAACATATATGTTTAACTAGCTTAAAAATAAAGAAATAAACTAATAAGAAAATGACTGATCAATAACATATAGGGCTAGTATTTTGAAAGATAGTATTTTTATAAATGTAGAAGTAGTGTGGTTCATTGATGTAAAAAATTAAAATAAACAGATCTGCATATCATCTCCATTCATTAATGTATAGTGTTAATAAATTTAATAATACAAGTTAAGTAGTTGTTAACAGGTCACTTCTTTAATTAGATAATTTCCTTATATTTCAGCTAGTTTAACATATAATAATGTTTCCATTCAAAATACTTCAGTTGATTTACAGTAACTCATAGTTTAGTAATTTTTTTTTATTCCTTCAGGATTAAAAATCTTAAATTTAATTTTGTTAAATGAGAATCCTTATTTTTAACTTGATATTATGATAAAAAAAAATTATAATTTTTTTTATCTATTAAGCTGTTTATCCGTTACAGCATTTTAAATACATGTGATAAGTATGTAGCGAAAGCAAAATGCACATACTCTAGTTGAGCTGTAACTCTAAGGGAATAAAAAAAATTATTTAACTACAAATTATTATAGAGTATTTTAAATTTAATATTTTTTCTTTTTATAAAAATATGAAATTCTCAAAATTTTAAGAAAAATTAGTATCTTAATAAATTTAGATCACCCTGTACATTTGAATAAAATAAACTTGAAACAATTGTTTAATTTTTAAAATTATTTTGTATAAATGACCTTTTTTTTGTTTAAAAAGTCATTATGTCATTAAGTCACACTACAACAAAAGTCTTTGAAATCCTAACAAATGAATTAATATATTCTTTTTTGTGCAAAATATTAATTTATCATGAAATATTATCAAATATGAAAAAAAGAAATTTACTATTTAATTAAATGCTTCACAATTCGTTGAGATTTCGAACTCTCATTTTTCTTTCCTAAAGCAAAAGTACGAAATTGCAACCTCTAGTCATGTGGAATCATAACTATTTATATCATTAAATATATAGCAGAGACAATTATCAGGATATAATTATGTTGTAGTTATTAATAGTGATTCAAAATTAATTTTATTTTGACAAAATAAATTATATAAATTCACTCCTTTTTTTGTCACTTTTCCTTTTATCTTAACAAAATGATGTTATTATATTAATATAAAAATTAACATTTTTATAATAATTTTTAACATTAAATTAAAAAAAAAATCTTTACAACTTTAATGTAAAACAAACTGATTATTCTTACGTAAATCTAAGTCAATGAAAAAAAAAACAACATTAATAAGATATTTATTTATTTTCTTTACATTATCATTAATTAAAATTCCCATTTTATTTATATTTGCGCGCAGATAAATATTTTTTATTTGAATTTTTATAAAAAAAACTTATAAAATAATGGATTTTACTGCTGCGTTTAAAATACATGCCACTCAAGTTGTAAATTTCAATACTGTTTTAAACTTGGTATACTGAATATAGAAATCGAAATAAGCTGTTTGATAAAAGAAAAAAACTTAAGGATTTAGAGAGCTTGCTCATTAAATTTACCTCAATCAGACAAATAGACTTTTTTTTAATTATATTGATAGTCAAATGGCTTCACTTGAGAAAATTAAACTTCTTAAAAAAAGTATTTTCCACATCTCTGCTGTCGCATGATAAAATTAATCCACAATTGATGATTTACTAACAGTATTGCTGGTGACGTCAGTTGTTTTATAACGTTTTATGAAAAATTTACATAAAAAATTAGACTAATATTTAATATTAGTATAATTTTTAAATTAAAATAAAAGATTTTGAATCTTTAAAAGAACCGTTTGTGACTAATCCTTATCAAAATTAGGTCTTACTTATTATGAATAAAATTAATTAAAATAGAACTTTGTAATTTTCTACTTTTTTTTTACATGAATGAAAAATAATTACGAAATTAAAGAAAACACGTCAAATCGACCTTAATTCTATTATCCCGCAGCTTTATTTTATGATTATTAAGTGAAGCACGTGCTAATAAAAAAAATTTGTTTGTTCATGAATTTTCCCACTTATGTTATTACTCATATGTTTATATGTTGTTATAAACATAAAACTCGATGACATTAATTTAAATTCAATTCATGAAAATTAAAACAACAAACTAAAATATATTCGATGATATTTATACAGAAAACATAAAGTGTTAAATAACGTACTAACAGTTTTTAATGTAGCTGTAAATATAGCAGTTAAATTTTCATTATTAAAGTACCTTTGACTTGGGGAATGCTTTTGGTATTTTTAATATGTTTAACACTTTACTAAGAATTAAAGTTTTTAGGTCACTATATTGGACTTATTTGTCGGTTATGAATTAAAGAATTTTTTTAAAACTATAATCAACTTATTTTAATGCTATGTTTTTAATTTGTGTCATAGATAGACAATGTTAATGTCTAAAAAATGTTCCACTGATTAACTGTTGAGAGGGTAACTAATTCAATGTTAATGTAGTGCTTTGAATTTTATGATTTTTCATACTTCGACATATTTTTTAATGGTCTTTAGTAACGGTAACTTCATTATGTTAAAAGTGTGGTATATAATTCTATTTACACCTGTAGTTGTGCGTAAACGTATTTTTTAGTTCTTCTTATGCTTTTCGATCTCACCATGACCCCACGACAACGGGGCCTCATCGTCACCACCGCCGACGTCGTTCAGGTCCGTTAACCCTTCGTACTTGAATTACGCCGTCTTGGGTTTTTTTTCTTCGTTGTTTTTATCGATGGCAGTGGTAATGCATATAATGTAACAACAATAACAATATACAAGCAGTAGTAAATAAATACACTATAGTAGGAGTTCCGTGGATCTGGCTGTGGATTGGAGGGGGTCCCCAGACCTTCACTCCCGGAAGCGCATGGCGACGATTCGGGTCAGTGTCGTGTTGTTTCTCCCGGATCCACCACAGTCCTGACACGGACGCGAGCTCATCCGGATCTTGAGCTGTGCCGTGGAGTATTGAATGATCTCTTGAAGTGATTTAGTAGTAGTTTAGGTTCTCCGGCTGTGCGCGTATCAACCGCACGCCACTGATCGCGAAATCTAACAACTTTACGCCGATATGACCTTTGCTAGTCTACAACTACGAGTAAGTTATTATTTTTGTTTCGAGTAAGTTATGTTAGCATTGTTTGAAATTTTTTGTCTTGCTTGTGTACATTTTACAAGCAATGCAATGTTAAAGACTATTCCGCGGTTTTCCCGAACCGGATATGCGACCCGCCACGCCACCTTGTGTAGTACATAGACCGCCGGTTACGTTTTATTTTTTGCAATTTACATACTTGCTACATTATTTGAAGATGTATAGGAATTTCGTCATCACGTTTTAAATGTGCATTTTTTACATTTACCTGTAATACTTGGTTATTTGGACATAGATGTCATATAATATAATGAAGTAAAGATTATTCAAAAATTTTTAATTTCAAAATTTGTATTCCATTTACCTAATAAAAAATTTAAGCCTTATGAAAATTTAGAATCATAAGATTGTAAAAAAAGCTCATACTTTTTAAATTTGGTATCTGAGACCACCGGAAAACTGGTAATTTTTGTATTATTAGAAGTTTACAAAAATGTAGCAGATTTAATTGCATAATAAATAAGACATGCGCGCTGTACAAGTCTAATTTAAAATTACCTATTACTATTCTTTATTAATGAATTGAAGCTTTGAAATTATTTAATTAAATTTTTTCATTATTTTTACTGAGTTAACTTGTTTTTAATGTAGATTCTCTTTATAACTTAAATTCTAATTTAATAAAAGAGGTATTTAATCCAATCTATTTTCATAAATACATAAATTCTGTAAAACATTAGATCTTCGAATATTAAATTTATTGATTGAACATTAAACATGAAGTTAGGAAAGAAATAATTTAATTATTTTAGGATATTTAAATTTGTTTAAGTTCTGTTGCTTTTATTGATATAACTATTATTCTATATAAAAAATAATTTTAAAAACCATGATTATGTTTGCAGTGTTATGTTGACTCGTTAAATGATCTTCAACAAGGATTAGGAGAATGTAGCAATGATGATTCAAGTTATGATTCAGATTTTGGAGGTGACGAAGACGCCACTAGTGCTAGTTTTAGTCACCTTGATATTAGTCGAACGACTTCAGACACATTAGGAGCTGAATATGCAGACTATATTAGTGCTCCAGCATATAAATCTAGAGTTGACTTTGCTCTTAAACTTGGTTATACTGAAAGATTAGTACAAGCTGCTTTAAATAAATTAGGTTCTGAACCTACTCAAGATCAACTTTTAGCTGTATGTATTAAATAACCACTATTATAGCAACTAAATTGCTATATTGTGTAATGTATATATCATAAAATATTAAAGACTAGTTTATTTAAATATTTTTAGGAATTAATTAAACTCGGAGCTCAGTGTGGACATAAATTATTAGGCGATTCTGATGGAGAAGAAATTCAATCTCTTAATTCAAATGATCAAAATATACAATCTCCTAAACTCAGGCACATTGTTATTGATGGAAGCAATGTAGCTATGAGGCAAGTTCTTTTATAAATATTTGTTTATATAAAATTAATAGAGTTATTTAAAAAAATTAGTCATGGTAACAAGGAGACTTTTTCATGTCGTGGTATCAAAATTTGTGTTGATTGGTTTCGAATGAGAGGTCATACAGATATAACAGTTTTTGTGCCTAAATGGCGAAAAGAAGCATCAAGACCCGATAACCGAATTATTGGTATGTAATTAGTTAAAATATTGAAAAAAGATTTATAATATAAATTATAAAATGTATAGAATTAAAAAAAAATTAATGTTAATTTTTAGATCAAGAAATTTTATTAGATTTGGAGCGTGCAAGGATGTTGGTTTTTACTCCTTCTAGAGAAATTGGTGGAAAAAGAATGGTTTGCTATGATGACCGTTACATTTTACGATTAGCAGCAGAGTTAGATGGTGTAGTAGTATCAAATGATAATTACCGAGATTTGGCAAATGAGAGTCCTGCATTCCGTTCAGTAGTTCAGAACAATATTTTAATGTATTCTTTTGTTAATGATAGATTTATGCCTCCAGATGATCCTTTAGGGAGGTCAGGTCCAACATTAGAAGTATTTTTACGAAGTAAAGCACCTGGTGTTGGTTTAACTGCTGTAAGTAGTGAAACATGTCCTTATGGTAAAAAATGTACGTATGGAAATAAGTGTAAATTTAGCCATCCTGAAAGGGGACATCAACCTATAAAGTCTGTTACTGAGCGATTATTAGAACATGCTCAACGACAATCTCTAACTAGTCGCCAAGTCAAAGGAAAATCTATGAGTTTACCATTGCAATCAGGAAGTATTTCTAAAAAACCTCTTACACGTACTAGATCAAATATCCCTCAATCTAATTATCCTCAACAATCATGGGGGATGTGGAGTTCCAACACTTTTTTAGAATCAGAAACCGAATCTGATAATCTTCACAGCAAGCTCCAGCGACAATTAACATTAAATCCAATATATGATCCACGGTTACAACAACTTCGTAAAAGTCAACATTGCAATGTTACTAGAATAGCTTCTGCACCACCAGTACCTGCTCCAATATCTACTACACAATCAATAGGAGCAAGTTGCTCAGATCCACAATTATTTCCAAATTACCAGGAAGCCAGGCATAAACTTTACTATCATTTATCTTCAATATTTCCTGAAGAACAAGTGTCCACAGCTATGCAATATTATCCAAATGAAACAAATCCTCAAAAAATTTGTGCAGCCATATTAAACATGTTTCCCAAAACATGATCAAACTATGAATTAATTTATATTTTTAAGTGTGATTTTGTCTACTTTCAGTTTTATTGACAAGATGCTGACATTGATACAGTGTATCTAATTAATGTGTTGATTTATTTTTAAATCATGTATTATTATTTTTAATACTATGTTAACTACATTACTTGTATGTTTAAAGCTTTAATTTTTGCTATTGTTTTTACAAAAATAAATATTTGGTAACCTTTTTAATATTCTATTAGAATATAGAAAACCCATCAACCTGTACATATTAAATTTTAACATATTTCTATAAATACATCATTTGTTTTCTATCATAAGATTAATTTTTGTAGTAATAACCAATAAGTTGTCTTTAGAAAAACGAACATTTATATTTTTTATTTGAGTACATAATTAAAATTAATATTTTTAATTCTGCTGATTTAGCATAAACTTTTTATTAAGTTTAAAAATATCTGGTCTATGTAATTGATATAATAATCTCTCTTGAATTTTCTTAACTGCAGCAACAGTTAAAACTAAAGTTTCATGTTTTAACATACTATATACATTTAAACCTAGAAATACAATATGTTTGACTTTTGCAATATAGTTAACTTATAAGTTGTTGTCTTTTTTTAGAAACAAATTAACTTACCATAAACGGGCATTAAATTCATATGTTTGATTTCATTCAATGCAAGAGAAATATTCCTTGGCATAGTGTCCGTACTTAAAATAAAAACATTAAGATTAAATGAAAATACATTAAATATTAATTATAAACTATATATTTAATATTATTAAATTTACGTCCATGAAAATATGTATAATTTTCTTACTTTCCTAACAATTCTTTGTCGAAATATTTATACAAATTGATAGCAAAAAATGAATTTAGTTTTCATCCTTATTTAATGTATATATCTATATTTTCAAGTAGAATTTTATAAATTATTTGAAATATTTCATTCTAATTTAAATAAATTTACAATAAGGTTTTCATCATTTCCAGTTCAATTATATTATATAAATTAATTTTTGAAGGAAAATTTTTAATACAATTATCTATAATGACTATAAATTAAAAAATACTTACTCATCAATAAATAGAACTGATGGTCCCCATAATCTAAAATCAGTTAAATCATTGATGTAGCTTGGATCTTCAGTTGGTATTTCTAAATCTTTTACAACATGTAAATCATCCTAAAAAATTTATTATAATCGCTCAATAAAATTTATTTTCTAGAGAAAAAAGTTATTTCTTACTTGTGCTAATTTAATAGATAAAGTTGATGTAAGTCCATACACTCTTTTAAAGAATGGGAGCATATAAAAATGGGTTGTACAAGAACGAGGACCATGTATAACAGATCCTCCTTTAAAAAGAGGAGATCTTCTTGTACCATGTCTGGCTCTTCCTTGACCTTTTTGCGGCCAAGGTTTTTTACCACTCATATTAACTTCTGCTGTAACTTTTGTATGAGCATAACTCTAATATAAAAACAAAAACAACTTATTCACATTTATTTAAAATTATTCAATTAATTTTAATAAAGAGGATCACATTGTCCATAATTAAATAAAATGTATATATATTAAATTTTATTATAATAGAAGTCATTATTAAAGGGTATCATATATTATTTTAATATAGACTATATTAACTGTTAAGTAAGATATATCAATATTTTATAAATGTGAATAAGAGTTCTAAAATTATTCAGGTAATTTATTCAAACAAAATTTAAAAAATACCAACCACAAATCTATACTTCCTTTGCCAAACTACATTTTCATGAATCAAATCAATTCGAGGTCTAGATCCAAAAACTTGAGGGTGTAAATTAATAATAGAAGATGGATTATCCTTAATACTATCTAAAGTTGATACCCACGCTTGTCTTAAATTTGTATAGCCACCATAAACCATAGGTGTTTCTTCACTCTTCGCTATTGATAAAAAACTATGTAAACCGAATTTAAACAAAGATTAACAAATCTTACCTAATGTGTTCTTCTCATTTTGAAGCGTTGACAATCGACATAAAGACTTGAACGACGAAGGAAGGGCACTAATTTGTTTCTTCAAACGGTTCAATAACATTTTTATACTATTATAACAGGATTTTAATTCAAATGTTTTCAATTTTAAAGGCCTAATTATTGGACAAAAACTATTACTCTAATATATGGAGCATTTATGTTTCACTTACTAATATTTAGTTTTTAATCAAATAATATTAATAAAAATAATTTTTTTGTTAACATTAATGATTTAAAAAAAATGATAATTGTTATCATTCAAAGTAATTATTAAGCTTGATAAAACTTAACCTCAAATGTTTGAAATATTTTTAGGGAACGCGTTGAAAATTTAAGATGTAAAACTAATGTAATAGAAGTATATCTTAAGTGACATATGCTATGTCACTTTTATATTAATAGTAGGTTTGAAGGACTGTTCTTCCAATCATAAGTATAAAAGTTTTAAAAATCACTTTATTTTAAAACTAGGTAGATATTATTGATGCATATAGACAATCTAAGCAGTGGCATATTTTGAATGATTTCCCGGGTGGTGTCCATCTTTTAATGAACCTCACAAACGAAAATTATAGAAATGTTTACTGACGTAAAAAAAACTTACTATTTTTCTAATTACTATTTTAGAAATTGACAAATAATTTGAAATTTGAAATTTTGGTACTGTTGTATCTTAAAAGAAACAACCCTAGTGTCTTAACTTAAAGGAATAAAAGTTTAATAATAACTCGAATGTATTTATTATAGATATAATTAAACAATACAAAATAAATATACACTAAAAACACAATAAAACAATACACAAAATGAAAACTTAATGTCATAAACGTACCGCGCGAAAAGAGATTCATTTCGGTGCTCCTAAGGTCCTCTCTCCTCTACGATTCATTCCATTTCGTCTTTTATACTAAAATATTTTGTTTTTCTACTTTTTGCAAAATTAATAATACTATCGTTTTCAAAAATGTTTATAAATATTTAATTCCTGGTCTAGTAATAATAAATCAAGAAATTACAATTAAACAAAACATTACAAAAATGTTTTACTACCAGCTTTACAAATGATAAACTATATTACAGAATACAGACTGATTTTTTTATCATAACCCACTCAATAATAAATATAATAAGTAGAATAAATATAATTTAAACATTATTTTTGATTTTCTTTAGTTACACATTATTCTTAAATTATTAACTATTTAAAACTTTTTATGTTCATCCCTTATGCCTTGTAAGGGTGTCAACTTTGTCTTTTTGTCTTTTAAATGGGAACACATATTTTGAATATAATTAAATGTTTGGATTTTTAATTAAATAGTAATTGGCATTTGAATTTTTAATATAACTTTATTAGTTTATTAGATATAAACATTTAAAGTTTCAAATTTTTGAGTTAATATACATGTATAATACACATGATGATATGATTACAAATACAGTTAGCTAAATGGTTTATATGATATCAATGTCGCAGTCACGGATTGTTTATTATCAATTATGACTATCATAGATATACTTTCTGTATTGACAGTTAGTGTATTTATAAATTCACAACAATGTGCCTTACTACCATTTATAATAACAATGCTATGTACCTGCTAATTTCTTTGAAGTTGTTTTAAACAAAGTAACTCATAACTAAATACTTTATTTATAATAAGTAAACAAATAATAAAATCTCCTTTCAGTATTGATGTTCGTAAATTACTTGCTTTTGATGATGTTTCAGTGTCATTCCACTTCGAAATTATAAATAACGATTCAATTAGGTACACAAAAAGCTCAAGAAAATCATTGACAGCATAAAAACGTTCAACTCATTTAGTCGCACATAATTGTTTTAATGATTTTTTAGTTATACATTTTTGACTTTCTTCGATTTGACTTTTCAACACATCTTTTCGCTTTGGGTATATGAAAAAATCTCTAACTTTAGATGTTGTTCCTAATCAATTTCGTGTTTCTTGTATAGAAGATGAATAAGAAATAGCAAGGTTTAAAACATGAACAGCACAATGAACAAACGTCGCAAGCGGATAACTTTGGTGAATAAGAGATTGAGCTCCGTTAAATTGACCAGACATAGAAGCACATCCATCGTAACACTGTCCTCTAACGTATTTTGTTTCTACACCAAATGAATGTAAACTTTGAATAATAATATATAAACCTTTTCCAGTAGTATCTGTTGTAGGCACAAACTGAAGAATTCTTCCTTGATAATCATATTTTCAACATCTAAATATCGAACACACAAAGTTACTTGTTCGCTTCCACCAATGTCGGCCGTTTCATCAGCAAGTATTTTGAAACATCTTTGGGCATTTATGTTTGTTACGATTTTATTTAAAATAATTTTATTACAGGATTCAATTATTTCATTTTGAAGTGTTTCACTTGTATATTTTATTGTTTCTTCAGCTTCCAAAAATGATTTTAAACGGTCATCTCCTTGGGCTCTGTATCTTAATATTTCTCTAAAATTTCCTTGATTTTCTTGGATAATTTGTCATTTTCTTGATATATATTGAAGTTACAAAGATATCCGTTATTGTCAAAAAAAAAATAAAAATAATAATAATAACATTAAAAATGCAAATAATAATTAAACCTATAAGGTAGTTAAACCCTAAAGTTATTTTCGATTTGTTAAAGTCGTTAAAATTAATTCAAATCTCCTGTTATTTTCTTTTATCAGAATTATTATGTCATTAATTCAATTATTAATTAAATTGTTAAACTATATTATATATTCAACTTAATAAATTTTTATGTTGATTATAATCGCATGGCATGATGTTTTTTGTTAATAACTAAATGGAAATAGCAATTTCACATGGGCAAAATTTTTAATAGTTGCAAGAGAATAAATCCAAACGTTGATATTTTATTTCATACAGATTAAATTTTATATGCATAAATATTCTGTTAACCGATATCAAATTTATTCCACTTGAACTTTCATAAAAAAATCTCTATCATTTGTAAACTAATGTAATAAATAAACAAACAAATACAAAAGGTTTTTCTTCAAAATATCTTTAAAATATATATATATATTTTTTTTTGATAATTCTCTGTATTATTCTTAAAATATTGTATTCTTTGACCAATAATACAATTAAAATAAATAAGTATTGTTTATACTAAATTTATTTATAATTGGTTTATACATTTTTTTAATGAATTTTTACAATTAAGTTTCCTTGACAATTAGATGTAAATGTTGATTTTATCGATATTTCAGTTCACTTCGTTTTTTCCCGTGAAAAATAAACTATCGTCTTGTGTAATTATTAAGATTTATTTAATTAATTATTG